TATATATATATATATATATATATATATATATATATATATATATATATTTATATATACACATACACATATACATATACATATACATATACAGATAGATAGATAGATATAGATATAGATATACATAAATATACTTATATATATAAATATAGATAGATAGATAGATTTATATATGTATATATATGCATATATATAAATATTTATATATATGTATGTGTAGATATATGTATATATATGAATATTTATATATGTATATTATTATATCAATCTATCTGTGTGTGTGTGTGTGTGTGTGTGTGTGTGTGTGTGTGTGTATAAACAGACAAATATATCTATATTTATGTATATATGTGTACCTGTGTGTGTGTGTGTGTGTGTGTGTGTGTGTGTGTGTGTGTGTGTGTGTGTGTGTGTGTGTGTGTGTGTGTGTGTGTTTGTGTTTGTTTGTGTGTATTTCTGTGTATGTATATATACATATGTTTTGAAAGTTGTTATTTTTTTAAAACTTAGTAGACAAGATCCCTGAAAAGCATGTATTATAGTGTTTTTACATTAAACATTATTCTACTGTCATTTATTTGTTGGTATTTGTAGCATTAACATACTGATCAATTGTATTATACTTTCATTTTACATGTATCTCTTATCGTAGATGTAGGTAGATTTATTCATATTTATAGTTATCATATGATTTTCTGTACCTTCAGTTAATTTTTTCATTTGTGTATGATTTTACTTTGAATGTTTAATATGAACCCATTGTCTCTGGGGTCATGTGCTGTCCACTCTAGTCTTTAGTGAAAGATGTTGCACACAGATGGCTCCACCTGTGCTCAGCTACCTGGGAGTCAATTAGTTGACCCTAATGACTGCACCCTATTTCCCCTTTCCTTACATTTGTGGGATTTATTTTTTTCTAATGCTATTGATATCAATACTTTTATTATTATTATTGATGTGTTGACCATTTTGAGTTAATAAGGTATTATAAGGTAAAATAGTGCAAAAGAATGTTTTCTGGAAATCATGCAAACACTGAAGAGATACATAGGACTAATAATTGACTCCTTGGTGAGTAAGCACCTGTGGAGCCGTCTTTGTGTAGACGCAAGTCATAAGCTAAGATTGTTGTAGACAGGGCATGTAGTCATGCACTCCACATCCAATGGGTTAAAAAAAAAAACAAAGGGATTCTCTTTATACCAATGAAGATAAGGATAGAAGGTTTTTGTTGTTGTTATATGACATATCCTGCATAGTTTCAGTTGCATAGAATAATTATGTTCTTTTTGTTTATAAATTTGTTATCTTTCATTGTAATACATGATATTCACCAATCATAGTCCACATCTTCCATTCCTGCAGCAAAGATCTGAAATTGCATCATGCTGCCTGCCCAAATTTTATCCCAGAACAACCCATCTGTGTTGTGCTTGAAGATGCTGCTGGAGTTCAAGATGTAAGCAGTTACTTCTCTTATCACCCAGCACTAATGTGTTGGGTTGATGTGTCTTGTTTCAATGTTTTTAACTAAATACCAAAGAAGGGGATAGGAAAAAATATAAGGGGTGACAATTATTTGATGAATTTTCTTTTTCTTTCTTTTTCTAAAAAAAAAAAATCACATAAAATAAAAATTCAGTTCAGTCCGGTTTTAAGGCATTCATGGTAATGGTTTCCTGTATAGAAAGTAACACTGGACTTGATTAACATTTTCCAGACGTTTTACCTTTCTGGAGCTCTTACAATAATGGTGTCCCAAGGAACTCTTACATAAGAGATTATTTTGCAATCTTAATTGATCTCATAACTGAGTAACCTTTGCATATGTAACTAATATATTAAGCAAATATGTTCAATTTGATTATTATACTTTTAAATGATCCGACAGTATTAAAGTATTGTTATAAGCAATCACAATTTTCTAAAAATGTGCTGTGTTCATATCTATCTATATCTATCTATATCTATCTATATCTATCTATCTATCTATCTATCTGTCTATCTATCTATCTATCTATCTATCTATCTATCTATCTATCTATCTATCTATCTATCTATCTATCTATCTATCTATCTATCTATATATATATATATATATATATATATATATATATATATATATATATATATATACATATATATATATATATATATATATATTATATATATATATATATACATATATATACATATATATATATATATATATATAATATATATATATATATATATATATATACATACATACATACATACATAATAGAATGAGGCTTGAAAATGAGTGAAAATCTTTGGCACATTAGTACATAGGCAAAATAATCTTATTTTTTTATTTCTGTCTCCTTGTTCCAGGAAACATTAGGTAGGAAATACATGTTTAAATAAAGAAGGCTGCTCCAGTTGTTTGTAAAGTCAGAGTGAAATAATTGACATTTTCAACCTTTTTTATGTTATCCTCCTGATCTCTTGTTGCTTTCAATCAATAGTTTGGTTTGTCTTATGGCTGCTTCCAAAGAATATATTACATTACTCTTACATGTATAGTTTCTGATCATGGTTTCACACCTATGGTGTTTAATTAGTCAGTCTTTAGACTTTTCAGATTTTGCTCATAAAAGGTTTATTTGTAATGCACAACTTTTTTTCTGCGTTTCAGTAATGATAAAAGCATTATGTGTATTATTAATGATAATTTTACTCTCGTGAAACTTTGTAGCATGTTACGACACCTTGGAAACAGCAAAAACTTGAAGAAGAAAAGTCGCTGGAAAGTAGTTGAGATTGTACACAATCTGCTGGTCAAACTCTTGCAGCTGAGGGAGAATGGAACACTCAAGGTAAGTTGGTGTCCGTAATGATAAAAAAAGATATGATATGATCTTCTGCCCTGCCTCTCTCACTCTCTCCCTTCCTCCCTCTGTTTTTCTCTCTCTTTCTCTTCTCCTTTTTTTTTTTTTTTTGCTTCATTTCACATATTAAGATAATAACAGTGGTTATTGTGAAGCATCTCTAGGAGCCAAAATAGGTTTCATATTCTACTTGATCCTTTTCTTCTCCAAGAGTAATGTATATATATATTTTTTTGTTATTTAGTTGCATGATGAAGGAAATGAATGTTCTCTATTTCTATTTTTTTGCCTTTTATTTTAGGAGTGGCTTTTAAGCATAAAAGAAGTATTGCACTCACTATCAGTACATTTCCTGAAAATGATTATTGTTGCTACAAGGTAAGCCGTGTATAAAGAAGTAAAAATTCGTAATTTCTCTACTTAATCTTCCATCTGAGATAAACTAAATTATTCACTTTATAGATCTTGCAAATGATATGTCTATTTAAGCTTCCAGAGGTTCATAGACTAGGAAAGTAATCACTTGCACAAACCTTTTCAGGAGATATGAATATTTAGAGAAAATAGAAAAGGAGAGTAATAACATCTTGAAATTGCTGTATGACCTACTTGGTAAGTTTTTTTTTCTGTACAATATTTTAAAATAATTTTTCATCTGTACCCCTTAACTATCACATTTGATATAAATAAATCACAATAGAATTTATAGTTATTCCAACACAAAAAGAAAAAAAAAATGTTCTTAAAAGATATTTCATAATTTGTATGATTTTCATTTGATACTGAATACGAATTAATAAGATTAAAATTAACAAATTTATTAAGAACAAATTTCAAACACCATTTTTTTCAGGTTTGAGTGAAGAGTCTCTAGTCCTGGTTATTGTCAAAGCATCGAATGCCTTGGGAGGGGAGAGGAATTCTTATGGGTGCCAGTTTCAGCTGTTTTCGTTGTTGGCCAGGTATGTAATTGTTGAGGAAGGATGGTGGGAGACGGAGTAAGTAATAGCTAAAATGTGGGAGGGAAGGAAGGTTGGAGGGAGTGAAGGAGGGAGATTGAGAAAGAGAGGGTGTGTGTGCGAGTGTCAGAGAGAAAAGAACATACAGGGAAATATATCATTTAGCAACACACTGTATAGAAGATATTTCAGTTTTCTGTGTATCCCTTTATACAGAAATGAATATACAAAAGTTCCGAAACAAAGTTGGAAAGAACAGAGACACTTTTCGTGATAGCATCTTATTGTCTTTACACTCTGGTCCTACAGCAAGGTGTTTTCTCTCTATTTGACGGAGGAGGACTTCCAGGAAGAGAGTGCCCTTGTAGTTTGGAGTGTTGCACTTGCACGCTTATGGCTTATGACATGTGATCCTGCTGATACAACGAAGGTGCAGAAAAAGATATTTGACATCTTACCACTAAATGTGAAAGTTGCAGGGAAACGTAAGTATATAGTGTGATGATTAATTAACTATTGACATTAGATTATACATTTTTTCAGTGTGTTCTGTCAGGTGGGTATATAAAAAGTGGAGTAAGTAGTTATTTTGAGTTTGCATTTTATCATGTGAATAATGTAAAGAGTTACCTGTCTTTATAAAGGTAAACAGACATATAATCTTTCTATACAAATTGATTACTAGGGCATTAATGAATAACTAAAATTTTTGGGATTTTTCCTTTGTAATTTGATTTATGTTTGAATATTGATGTTTAGTCAGTACTTTGGTTCATTTACCAGGCAAGATGTCAACAAAAGGACTACTGAATTTACCCATTACACAGTTAGTAAAGGTAAGGTAACATTTTTATTTTCTGTGATGGTGCACATACAATGCATTTGTGCCATAGTTTAGGACACTGGATTCAGTTTGAGATATGATATATGGCTATCCCATGTTTTTCATCCTTGTAGAAATTACGCTTAATAATTATATTATCTCTTTATTAGGAATTGGGACTCACAGCTTCAAAGGCACTCAAGGAAATGGACTTGTTACTCATTCAGGAAGAGGTATGTTGAATATGAAATGAAAGTTAATCCTTTTTTAACTACTGTTTAACTGCAGGTTCATCTTCAGCAGTGGTTTTCAAACTGGTATTGTTACCCACGGCAGTATATTGATAGGTCACCATTACCTGTATCTCATTCCATATCCATTATTATTTTCTATCAATTTATACCAGAGAACTATTACTTTTAGAAACTGTCTTGTAACCACTTTTAAATTGCTCGAGTTTGGGAAGTAAAGGTCTACAATAATTTAACGGCACCAAATTGCATTCAAATCCTGTTGCCCACAATTAAAGGTGCACATTAATAAACTTGCCTTCATTTTCATACTCTTTAAATTCCTTAAATATTTAATGGCATCACCAGAGGCACATCATGTCTGATTATAGATGTGAGCACTTTTATATGATAACTTTGAGGCATCTTGTTAAAATTGTCTTTTTATAGGTCTGATATTGATATTGGGAAAGAATTATTTTGTTTGTATTACTCTTATGATTTTTGTTGATTTCATCATTATTTATTGCTTATGTGTGTAACACTCAAGAAGTGAAATATGTTTTAGAATTAAGCTTAATGTTCAATTTAATTGAGAGTATATATATATGTTTACATATAAATACACACACACACACATACATATACATATATATATATATATATATATATATATATATAATATTATATATATATATATATATATATACATACATACATATATATATAATATATATATATATATATATATATATATATATATATATATATATATATATATATATATATATATATATATATATATATACATATATATACATATATACATATATACATATATACATATAAGGAGAGATAGATAGATTTGTGTTTCTGAAGTTTTGCCACATAAAATGAAGCCAATATTTAAAATCTTTTCAGGGATCTCATGCATATGTACAACTTATGGAGATGGCTAACAAGGTAGACAGTGCTCTTGTTCAACTTCAGCTTATCATTGGGGGGACTCTCAAAGAAAAGAAAGAGACACTTCCATCAAATGATTTATTTTCTCTTTCTTCTGACTGGACCACTTCCACTCCTGACCGCCAAGATGCAGCTACAAAACAGAATAGTCCTGAAGTTGATACCGGTGCTAGTTGCTCTCAGGATTTCATACCAAGTTCTCTGAAAAATCATGGATCAGCTGAAGAGAGTTTCGAAAATAAGCTGAAAAGGAAGAGAACAAACAGAGAAAGGCATATGAGTTCCAATTCACATGGCAAAAGGCTTTCCTCAGGCACAGGAGAAAACATTGATGATGAAGAGAAGAGTTTAAAAGTCAGGAAAGTGAGTCCGAGCACCAAGTCCAAAGGTTTGTCAGAGAATGCTGAAATCATGTGTGAAAACATGGAGGCCTCTGGCAAAGGCCAAAGTCTTGATGAAAACAGCAGGAAAGATGGCGGTGTTACAGGCAGTGATGGACTTCATGTAAAGAGCATACAAGGATGTAAGGGAAATTATAAAGACAAACAAAAGATCTGTAAATCAGATGCTGCTGGGGGTATGCAGGCATTAACTGGTGCTGCTTCTGTGTTACAACCCAAGACTGATAAATGGAAGAAGACAAGACTAGCCAGAACCAAAGTGGAAACACCACAAAAGTGCAAAACAGAGGAAATATTGGGTCTAGAAGAGGATTTTTCTCTCAGACTAGAAAGTGATACAGAGGAATCATCTGTCGATGAGAACAGGAAAAATACTGTAAAGCGAGCTCTCCTTGCTGATACAAGCAATCCTAGAGATAGGAATAAAATTATCAAAAAGTTGGCAAGTGAGTCTTTGCAGGCCGACCAACAACAGCCTGCAAACAACAATGATGACAAATTAGACCTAACATTCTCAGAGATTTCTAAAGAGGAAGGTAAATTTACCGCAAAGAATGAGTCTCAGACCAAAGATGAACCACAAGATAGTCTTCAAGAGGTACCCACAACTATTAAAAATGGGCAAAATTTAGCAAGGAAAGGAGAAGGTGATAGTACAAGTTCAAGGGAGGATTTTGAAGACACTGATGGTTTGGGTAAAAAAAAGCCTCAGAAGAAAGGATCAAAATCATTTGGAGGAGAAAATGATACAGTGCAAAATTACAATGGACTTATAAGAGGTTTGTAAAGCATTGTTTGGTTTCCTCATTGGATTCATATTGTTGCTCTATTATCTTTTTCCATTTTATTTTCTTCTGATTAACTGTTTTATCATACTGAAAGGGTATTATTATGCATAACTTTATTTATCCATAACAAACTACTTTTGATTTTTGTGTAATATTTCACCTCGTCTCCAATGTCTGTATCAGGTGTTGATATATTAGACAACAGTGTGAAGCTGCCAGCTGGATGGAAGAGATATTTATGTGCGCGCATTGTGCAGGTAAAGAAAGAACCAAAAATACGTGTAGATGTGAAGGTAAGCAGTTGATATCTTGCTTATTTGTTTTTCTTTTTCTTTTTCTGTAAGCTCTGTGACATACAGAGCTTACATCATCGGTAGGTCAATGATGATAATCCCAATGATAATGATCATATTAATAATGATTATAGTGATAGAAGAGATAATAGCATACAAAGTGAAAACTTTTTCCTGAAAATTCAAGAAATGAGGAATAAGATCCGGCAGGCCTAGTATTTGAATTCCGGGTGATTTGTTGGGTGTAAATAACATTGACAAATCAAATTACGTGTGGTGTGTGGTGTGTGTGTGTGTGTGGTGTGGTGTGTGTGTGGTGTGTGTGTGTGGTGTGGTGTGGTGTGGTGTGTGTGTGTGTGTGTGTGTGTGTGTGTGTGTGTGTGTGTGTGTGTGTGTGTGTGTGTGTGTGTGTGTGTGTGTGTGTGTGTGTGTGTGTGTGTGTGTGTGTGTGTGTGTGTGTGTGTGTGTGTGTGTGTGTGTGTGTGTGTGTGTGTGTAAAAATGGGTCCAATGGGTTAAAGATTTGTCCGTGTAGGAACTTGCAAATTGTTGTGAAGTATGTAGATGGACATGTGAATTATGCTTTATGAATTTTGTAAATCCTTTCTGAAAATCCTGAGGAAAAAATGGATGAAGGATTATGTTATATTGGTTAAAGTAGTTATAAGTATGTTGATCTATTTACCTCCTTTTGTTCTTTCTTTCTTTCTTAAAAATTTTTCTCTTCATTTTTTCATCTACATAGTAAAGTGCCTAATAAAATTTAATTCTTCTAAAAGGTGTTGTCACCGGATGGGAAATCTCACAATTGCAAGAAATCTGTCTTGGAATACCGAGAGAAGCATGATCCCAAAAGTGTCTTGAGTACTGATGAAATTCAGTCTTGGTATAAAATAGAACCTCAATTAAAGGAGAGAGGTAGGAAGCATTTTCAGATTGGGATTCTTTGATGGTGGAATGATTTAAGCATTGAAAAGTCCAGTATTCACCCATCTCAAATTTTCTTTTTATAGAATATTATCCTGTTTTTATTTCAGTTTTGGAGAAGAATGAACACCTGGTGAAGTACTGCAAACTTAGAAAACACCCTGACTTTCAGGAACGAACTTTGAGGAGCTATACTCCGCTGAAAGTGAATATCGAGTCAAAGAGGTTAAGGAGTCAAAAGAGGGCCAAAAAGGAAAGTGATAAAGATGAAATTGACTTTGTCAGAAGAAGCACAAATCAGGAAAAACACAATTTAGAAAATAACATAGAGGCTAAGGAGTCACATGCATTGAAGGAGAACCAGAAAGCAGGACCAAGGAACACATCCACAAAGTCCAAAGACAAGAACGGATGTAACGGGTCACTAAAAGAAGTAGAGGAGGAGGGAGGTGCACTAGATGGAAGCAAACCACTTGATATACATGATCCCTTTGAGTTTACCGAAGAAGAGGATACTATTAAAGAATTTTGCCCAGTGAGTAAAACATCATATGTTGAAAACTCAGTGGTAAAAAGGGAAATGAATGTCAACTTACATGTAGTTAATTTTCAAGAGAATATGGAATTGAGTCGCAGAGAAAATGTATCAAACATTTTAGAACAGGTTGATTCAAGATCCCTAAACATAAAGAATGAGAAGGATGTCCTGGAGGAAGTTCATGTCAAAAGAGAAATGTTTGATGAAAACAATCATTCCAGTAATGCTCAAGCAGAACCTAGTGCCATTAGTATACTTCCCACAGATAGCAAAGATAGTAATGAAGAGTATTTATCTATTGGTGAAGATCAGTCCCAAGATAATTCCATTCTTTTCTGTCACCCTTGTTTTGAAGGTGGCAGTGTGAAACCATCTGGTCCCGAATCTATAAGTAGTCAAGGACCTGAACCAACCAGCAGTTCAGATGACTTGTTAGATAAATCCCAAGTACTGTTTATCCTTCCTGAGCTATACAAAACAAAGGTAAAACCAGGTGATATCATATGTACTAAAGTTAAAAAAGAAATGGCACAAACAAACTCAGTGTCTAGTGCTAGGACTGAGGAAGGAGCAGCTGAAGGGTTAACATTTGACATTATGAATAACTGCAACAATATATCTGGCACTCCATTAATTCAAAATGAAAAATTGGTGAAGAATGACAGCATCGAAATACTGAAAGAGACAAGCCATACAGGTGGCACCTCTAAAGAACTGATAAGTGGGATCATTTGCCAGGACCAGGATGATCAGCAAATTAATCATGAAGTGAAAGAAAGTGGTGTAGATTTTAAACACTTGAAGGCATCACAGCAAGATGATATTATCTTTGTAAAGTCACAGAAAAAGAAGATGCATTCCACTCCTGCAGAAATTGTACAAGAATTTCACTCTCCAGGTCTAAGCACTATCAAAGGCAGTAGTTGCAAAAGAAACTTACAAGGAGTGGTAAGTGCACTAAATGTTTCAAGCCATCATCCAGATGCTCAACCTTTAACTAAAGATATTCAGCAAGTCCCAGTTTTGAAAGAAGTAACATCGGATGAGAGGAAGGCTCTGATTACCATACCACCAGTTGTAACAGGAAAGGATATACTGCTAGAACTTAAGTGGTACAAGATTGTACCCAGCGAAGTAGGCCGTTCCTTTCTGTTAGAATCCTCCATTGTTACGCTATCCCATCAGGAAATTCTACCTCCTACAATATTGGAGAAGGAGCTCTTGGCTGCTAGGGAAATACAACTTGCTAGATCAAGTCAGGCTGAAGGAAAATCCAGTGATACATTTAATGACTGTAAAAGAAAGAGCTGTAACAGACAACTGTTAGAAGAGTTCACTAAAAATAAAGATATCTCAGAGGAAACAAGAGGGAGACCTTTTGGTGATAATAAACCAGTGGAGCAAAGTAATACAGGCAAGATGGATGACCAGGTGAGAGAGAAAGAATTTTCCTTACAAGTTTTTCGAGAGGGTAACAGCATGGAGCAGAGTGAATATGGAACACCAATGCTAAATTCATTGGTTCAGTTTTTAGACGATAGTCAGAATTCAGATAAGAGACTACAGACTCCAAATCAAGGTACCATGTTAACATCCTGTTCTTCCAAAACAGCAATAAACAACAGTACAGTATGGAGTACTGATAGTACAAGTCAGTTGTATAATTCCCATACATACAGTAATGAGAATCAGTTAGCTCACAGTTCCCTTTCATCTGATCATGAAGATCTTGCCATTATAGAGACAGATTCAAAAAACAGCACAAAGTATTTAAGTTGTGCAGGTCGTTTAATGGTGCCCGGAAAGAACCTGAAGAAATGCTTATATTCGTGTCTTGGGTCACACCTAGCACAGCTACAGGAAAAAGCGAGAATGCCCTTCGAAGTGACATCAAAACCTTCCCCTTGTCGTTTTTGTAGTCAGCACCAGAGGAATGAGACATGGCACTCAGATGGTCTGTTTGATCCATCACTGTTGGATCTGTCTTGTCCCATCTGTCAGCTTACCTTAGAAGACATTAGGCCGTGTACATTTCATGCTGAGTTGATTCAGCTTAGTGAAGGCGAAACAGAGGGAGATGTGCCTTCCCCACTTGAGAATATGACAGAAACTGTCAGGATGATATACTGGTAAGCTTGTGGAAATTTTTCTTTGTTAATTTTGTTTCATAAATTTTTATGACAAAAGGAATTCAATTGAATACGTATATTAGCTGGATCCTGGAAAGTGTTTAGGTTGTGTTGTCAAGTGTATTAATATTAAGACCATATATACTCATAATTTTTGTTCTTATTATTTTTATAATATTTATATTCTGAAAAGGGATAAAACAAAGATTTTGGTTTCAAGACTTCTGAACCAGACAAGATCACCTGGAGAATGGTTGAAAGTGCTATTTATGGCACTTGTATTTATTCCCCTTTCTATATTATATATTGTATGCATAATTTGTATTAAAGGGAATGGATCACTTATCCATCTATCTTATATCAGTGTTTACATTTTCTTTTAACATGCTGGAATGTTACTGTCACACTTTTTTTTCTATTGCAGGGAATATGTGGGGATACTGCTATCCCTTTTCCCAGGAAAGGAATCTCTTCCCCTCCCAATGTCTTGGAATTATATGTCTGCTTGCTCTGTTCATGCTGTCATAAACCCCAAGGATTTAGTGGGCACGGTGTCATCGCAGTATGTAGCGACAGATTCAAAGTCTGGACAAGGCCATGCATCTACATCAAGCCAAGAAATATCTCAAGATGATTGTCAGAATACAGGTTTATCAATCTCTCCCCATGATAAATGTCAAGAATCTGGTCAGACTGCTAAAGAGTCTCAGCAATTGAAGAAAGCGCACAGGAAAGTGCCAAAAGTAAAGGGGAGTGCACTCTTGCCAAATTCTGTCCCTGACCTGCATAAAAAAAAATCCACATACTTTAAAAATTCATCAAGGAATGAGAAAGATCCAAGCGTAGATAAACTTTCAAGGAATAAGAGATCCTTACAATCTGATAAAGGTAATCATAAATTGTTGTCGTTTCTCAAGGAAAAGGAGCAACCCATGCTTGATAAACAGAACAGGAGGGAGACTGCTCTGCAACCTTCTGATAAGAATGGAAATTCGGTTACTAAACATTCTGTTTCAAAAACTAAGGGCGGGAAACCTAGACCCACACCTAAACCATGGAAATTTAGTAGCTTGTTTTCAAAGAAGTTTCTCAAAGCTAAACCTCAAAGTGACAAAGACAAACCAAAAAAAGGCAAGAAGACCAAAAAATGTGCAAGAGAGAAGAAAATTAACAAAAAATTAGCAAAAAAAAATGTTGCTTCTTCAAGGTTCATTGTATCTCCCAATGTTTATTCATCAGGTAATCAGACAAAAGGCAAAAGTCACAAAAATGCCCAGTTAACCCAGGATTATTTTGACAAAAGTATTCAGGGACAAAAGAAAAAGGGAGATAGCCATATAACAACTATTGCTCCTCTACAGAAAGAAGCAATGGATGTGCAAACTCCTGTAATTAAAAACAAAAAGAGTAAAGTGAGAAGTGAGAGTGATGTCTCCATTAGTATTGAAGGGGCAGAGTTTGATGCCCTAGAAAGGTTCAAGAAACGTCAGAAGCGTGCCATGGACAGGAGTAGGCAAAAATCTTGTGTAAAGACTTAAGTAATAAACTTCGGTAATGACTTGACTGCAATCAAACATTTTCTTTCTTTTCTGCCTCATGCCTCCTCATTTTTTTACCTTGACAAATTATTACTTTTTCTTTTTACATAGCTTTTTCTGTTCATGTTATATTTTTCCCTGGTTTTCTTGAATTTTGTTGTTATTCATTACATATTTATGTATTTGTAAATACATAGAAAGTATGTATAATCTGTTAAAATATGTGAACAAGAAGTACTTTAGTTTACTTCATTAGACGCTGCCATGCATTGTTACTGTACACCAACTGTCTACAATAATGTTTACTTTTGTTTTGATTTATATATATATATATATGTATACAGAATTTACATAAGTTAATGTATTTACTCAAATCAGCTTTAAAAGTTGATCCTTTTGTTTGATTTTGAAAGTAATAATTATTACTGAATTTTGTAAAATGTTTAGATTTTAATAATTTTTTGACAGAAATATTTTATTTGAAGAAATTATAGATAAAAGAAAACAAACTTTCTTTAAAAGTTATATCATTATATAAAAAAATATTGTGTTAATTTCTCTCTACTTTCCTCTGCAGTTTTATTGACAATATCATTGATGAATCATAGAGATATAGTTTTCTTTTATTATGATTCATTTATCTTTTTTTAATAAACTCCACTTTTGGTCTCAAAGTATATGATTCATTTGACAGCATGTGGGGGAATTATTATTATTATTATTATTATTTTATTTTTTGTCCAAATTTGGTTTTCCAGTAAGTTGCTAGTATGTGTATTGCATTTTTGCCATTTATGATATGGTGATTTCAAAAGAATGTAAAATTTGTTACAGTGAACTTCTGTATTCTATTAATAAAATATGGAAAATATGTGGGCTTTACTTTTTGATACCTGTGAATTGTTTGATTAGTATGTTTATATGTCTTTGTCTTTGTGTCCGCTTGTGTGAATTGTGGCCTCTGATTTAAGTAGTTTTCACAAGATTGAGTGTTATTTTATTAAATGCTAGTTGGAGGAGAAAGAATGAAGTACATAATATAATTATATATATAACCAGATTATATACAAAATGGTAAGAGCAGCATTAGATTACAGTAATCAAGATTTTGAAAAAAAAAAAAAAAAAAAAGCTTCCAAAATAATGGGGGAGTGAGAAGGAAAAAAAAAAAAATTTGCCGTATTTCAAATAAACTTACTTGTGACAAGAAAAAATATCAATATAAATTTCTTCAGGACAGCTTTCATATCCACTTTTTATGGGGGGGGGGGGAGGAAGGTTGGGAAACAGCCAGGACAAATTCCTTAACAATTTTAACAAATTGTTAGAACTTTAAGCTAGGACTAGAGATACATAGATTGGGGGAGAAATTCTTGAGGGTATGGCCCTTTGCCAGGTGGGGGCACTTACCCCCACTATCATATTTATGGATAATTTGACTGCTGAAAAAAGCTTATATGAAAACAGGAGAATAAAACCAAAATACCCAATTAAAAAAAAACATGGCAATATGTGGACCATAACAACTGACTATTTTTCTTCATTATTTCTTTCCATTAGTTATAGGAATGGTATTCCTCCTTTTCATAATACTTTTTACAGATACCTTCTATATTGATAAATGTTCACTTATAATCTTTGCTAAGTGGGATTAAATATAGACCATATTTGTTATTCTATATCAAATAGTAACAAGAAGTAATACGAAGTAAATATTTTGTGCACCATGTAAGAAAAAATAAGTTTGTGTGTGCCCATGATGAGAGTAAATATACTGACATATTGTTTGCCTTGCACACTCCTATCTTATATCATGCTCTGACCCAGCTTAATGTTCCCTATGTAGTGTTTCCCTTTCGGTCCCATACATTCTGTTGTCCTGTCCATGCTTTACAATTTAAATACATAGAAAGTATTTATGTTCTGTTGAAATCTGGGAACGAGAAGTACTTTACTCTACTTCATTAGACACTGCCATGCTTTGTTACTGTACACTGTCTACAATAATGTTTACCTCTGCTTTTCTGCACCTATTCTTACACCGAACCCCCGCCATTGATATTCTTGCAGAATCCCGCACTTTCTGCTTTGGAAACCTATTCTCCTTCCTCAAACAGTTACATATACTTCACTTGATTTAATGCCTACTTGCTTATTCATAACTTGACCCATTCACTCACCCCCTCCACCCTTACCAATATTTATACCCTTTCCAATACCATCCTATTACTCTATGACTATTGATGTATAGCATCCAGTCATTAACTCACCCCACCCCCTCTCTTCCCTTTCCCATACTATACTTTCCTATAATTCTACATGACTTCGATGTCCTAGCAATATTTATTTTGCTTTTAACCATTAACCATTTTTTTGCATGCTTTATTCATCATACATTTTTAGCAGCAGAAACTCTTACTCTCATACTCACACAGTCAAACTCACTTTCACGCTCATTCTTGCATTTACACACACGCTAACACTCAACTCACTCACTCACTCACTCACTCACTCACTCACTCACTCACTCACTCACTCACTCACTCACACACACACACACACACACACACACACACACACACACACACACACACACACACACACCACACACACACACACACACACACACACACACACACACACACACACACACACACACACACACACATACCATACCATACCCATACCCATACCACACACCACAAACACACACACTTGCTTGGTTGCTCACTCACTCCTACACTCAAACACTCACTCAAATATTACGTAAACCATACTAAACTTTAAATAAGCGCGGTATAGTAGATGAGTTTCAATGTATCGATTCTGGCTTCAAACTGCAAAAAAAAGTTTCCAGACTTCTAGACTTCCACCAATTACAATAATCTTGTCAATAATGCTATTCAATTTACCCCCAAATTACGAACCTAATCTCATTTAAGAAATATGAAAAAAATGTAAACACAATTCTTCCATCACGGGAATCGGACGCGGTCATGGCGGCGGCGAGAATCGTGTGGAGACGAAATTCCTCCACATTTTTGCGTATTTCTCCCATTTCCCGGGACTGGGCACGCCGGAATCACAGCGCAGCCCCACTCGATGAGTACACGGACGTGCCCGAATACCCACCCATCCTCGACGTCAGCACAGAAGCGAAGAAAAAGAGGAAAACCGAGGCATGGCACCAGAAGATCACAGACCTACCGACCCTCGAGCAGAAGCTAATGGAGCTCAACATGCCCAAATACTACGGCTATTGGGCATGCAAGCTGTTGGACACGAAACCCACGCTCCAGGGCACGTCCTTTACCCAGTATGCCACCAGGACTCACGTGGTAGAAGGATTACCTGAAGGATACCACGAGAAGGAGGCGGCGGCGACGCTGGCGAAGGAGCTGAAGGGCCCCGTCGAGGACCTGCTTCTGCTCAATTTCCAGGCTTCCTTAAGCAGGTAATGTGTCCTCAGCAGGTTATACAGGTTCAGTAGAAGAAGTACCTCAAGCAGGCAAGTGATAGGGAAATATTTCATGCAGGTCGTGTACGCCCAGTAGATTAAGTAACAAGCAGGCAGGTGATACAGAATATTCCTATGTTTTTTAGCGCTGTAATTCCTCATTTGCCTTGAAATAAAAAATATCTGCTGCATATCACCGCTCAAAGACAAAATCCACAACACCACAGTTGTAAATATCCATTTGGTTAATGTACGGGGTAATTGTTGAAGACCGCAACGCACCCTCGCAGAGACTAAGTCAAAAAAAATTATGTTTTTCTGCATGAAATCCTATGACTTCATCGATTTTCGGCGTTGTTTCTTTTGCGAATGAATCGTTCAGGAGATCGAGTACCATTTCTCCATCGACGATCTTGATTTGATAGTCCCGTTAGCAGGGGAGGGCATGAAGTATATCAGGGAAATTATGGGGTAAAACAAGCTTAAATAAGAAGAATAACGATCAAAAATGCGTAAAACTAGCACAAAAAGCGCTTAAAATCGGCCAATGAAACTCTACGGATGTAATCGCCATCTTTGAAAGTTTACGGACTGACGCGAAATAAATAAAAAAATCTACGGGAACCCAACCCATATTTCGGCAAAAAATCTACGGGAATTCACACGTTCCAACCCCCAAAAACGTATTGACCAATAAACCAACCAACCTAATATATCAATATAAATTGCCGTGACTAGGCGTGCCCTTCGGGCACTGCCGAGGGAGGGTTGATGGGGGGCAAGCCCCCCAACACTCCCCAGGACACATTCTCTCCACCACGGTATGTACGGCAAGACAGAGCTGCATTCACACCGTAAAATAATAAACCAAATACCTTTATATCCGGAAACGTGAAACTTTCGTTTCTTTGTACTGTTGGGATTGCTTCGATTTTAATCACCTTTTTCGTCCTTTGGAGCTCTTGATGGGCTCAGATATAAAACTGGGATGGTTACTGAAGTCGAATTATTCTTCGATGCCACTGTAAAGGTCTTAAAAAAGAACCCAGAATCAACACAACACTGGAAACGCAACATTTCTCACCGGCTTTCAATCTCGAAATGAGCGGGTTGGTGAGCTGTCAACCTGTGGCTGGCGCAAGAAAGTGTGAAACACTCGATGCGCAGGATTCAATATGAGGGTATAGATAAATATAAAAATACGCAATTGAAGTATAATAACATTACTAAAAGACTTTAAAGGTATAAATGCGTACCAGCAGACACAGATAATTAGCCAAACATCGTTTTGACAAGCACGTAATGATACACGGACTAGTTCGCGAACGCAAAAATGCGTTCGTGGGTCAGTGTCGTGTTTTTCCTAGCAAGGTAAACAAGCTCATCGACTTTGAATTTGAAAGGCGGCCGCGTGTTATATTTTCCTCATTTAGCGGTGACTATAAGGCCGGTGCATCTTAAACTATACGCTATCCCCTTCTATTTTTCCCGCTCTATAAGATGGCGGTGTCCATTTTCCTCTATCTACGCGCGTCGCGGTCTTCAACCTCTACCATGTACGGTATAGGTATGGCTGCTGCGACCCCATATTTACTGCGAAATGATGAAAATATTTTTTTGTATATCAATACTCAGAGACTAAGCTGCTCATCTTGTTTGCAGCGAAAAGATAAATACTATAGTGACCACTTAACTCATTATTTTGATATGCCTAGTAGTTCATATGTTACTACTTGCTTGTCAAAATGATATTTTGATGATAATCAGTGTCTGCTTTTCCACATGTATGCTTTTAAAATGTTCTTTTAATGTTGTTATACTTCCTTTACATGTTTTAAGGTTTATTTATGCAGTCCTTTACAGTAATCTCCTGTGTTTGTGCATTTTCACGACCAGGACTTTTGACAGCACCAGGAGACTCCATTCTTATACAAGTGCCAGTTTGATATCTGAGCTCATTTAGTGTCCCAAATGTTGAAAAAAACGATTATAGACAACTATTCAGACAATCAACAGAGTATAAGAAAAGGTCTGCGTTCTCTCTGTATGTGGTGAGCAAATTATTAGGAACAGTTGTTATATTGGTGGTGCACATCTTGTAAATAACCGGGGGGACCAGAGGGCATAGCCCTGACTAGGTGCACATACTATAATGGGGGCCGGAAGTTGGAGCCCCCTGGCTAGGCATGGTATATATACTCAGATGATGAGTTAGGATGATCTATATGAGGAACGCAGGACATTATATTAATTCTGTTTCACCCTGTTTTACTTCATAATTACCCCGATATACTTCATTTTGTCTTGAAATCAAGCGACTACCCTTTCATCCATATTGACTGGGATTTAGACTCTAGAGGGTGTGTTTCTCTCAGTAACAAATGCCGTCTCTTTTCTACAAGTTTGGATTAAGTAATTATAAAGGGGGCCACAGGGGAGCATGTCCCTCTTGACTGGGGAATAGATAGAAGGTAGGAAAAGTTTAGTTTAGGATTTTGTGTTCACATGATACCCTGATTTCGGGAGGTTGCATCACTCCTGGTAACAAATGCTAAGAGAAGGTTGACCAATCTTTTTCTAAGTCCCTTAACATGTTTACATTGCAATGATAAACACCACTATGGCGGCATAATTCATTCCTACTATCTGTGAAGTAGTTTGTGAAAAGGATTATATTGTAATTATCAATGCCTGCTTTTCTTTATTTATGTATATAATACATTTTTTCATATCTGTTATACTTCTTTAATGTGTTCTAATTGTTGTTTATGTTAATCTGTACAGTAACCAGTAATTTTACATAATACCTTTGCATAACTGATTTCAACGATTTTGTAATTGATGGATAACTCACACACACTACTACTCAAATATATCAAAATTATGCAGTGAACCCCGTCTCCCCCATTAGTGACAATCTTGGCACCAATAGCAACCAATAGCATGGGAAGGCATTAAAGGTACCAACATGTTCTATCATCCTGTGAATATTTAGAAGTTTCATTATTTTCCTGGTAAGGGGTTTGGGGGAGTCACAGGGGGCACATTATCCTGCCTTAGACAATATACTGACTGATTCTGTTAATATTATTCATATTATATATCCTTGGTACCTTTCATGCTCTCCCCTGCTATTAGGGCCAAGAATGTGAGGGGTTTGGACTGGTTTGTTAATTGATCATGAGCAGCCAGGTAGATAGTCTTTATATGTGATAGATCCTAGTCAGACTGCCAAGAGGAGTAGCTGTAATTGCTTGATTCCCTGCTGTAATTTCTGGTAGCATGTTTGTAATAGAGGTCAGCATTGTCAAAGACTTAAAATGATTAGTGCATAACATGACTTTTAAGTTTTTAAGGTATTCACTTCAGCAAGGATAATGTCTGTGTTTTTGTAATTAGTATGCATTAGCCTTTATATTGGAATAATTGCTTGTTAACTTGACATTTTTCTCTGAACAATCCCCAGGAGAGACTTCAGTAGTGGACGAGCCATCGAGAGGCACCAGACACAGAACTTCCTTCTTGGCTTACACAAGATCCTGGCAGCGGCATTAGCACCCACATCTGAGCACATCAAGGATTCTGTGGTAAGATGTTTATCTGTATGTTTTTTTTTTTTTTTTTTTTTTTTTTTTTTTTTTCTTTTTCTTTCTCTTTCTTTTTTATTTTGTTTTATTTTTGTTTTACTTTTTTATTGTATTTGAGATAGATAGACAGACAAGTATCAGATCTATTTTGTATACTAGTTTTAAGTCTGTACTGTTTTCTCTGCTTGGCATATATATTTTATTTCACTAGTTTCATTCATTTAGTATGATATGAGCAAATAAAGCATATAGTTTTTCATTATTTTATTTATAAGCAGTTTGGAATCATGATCTATAACTAATGAATTATATTTAGATATTTAGTAACAGGTTAATTCTTTTTGTTTAACTTTTATCATTTTAGGTTGATGTAAGACCCAGAGTGGAAGCTTTCTGGTTTCTTGGTGGACTTCAACCGGACAACTTGCTGAAAAAGAAGCGACGAAACTTTAAGCCCATGAAAGACAGGGAGCATGAGCTTATGGAAAGGTTTGTTTGTTAGTTTTCTTCATATGTATTCTTATCATATTTTTTAGAATCGTGATGGTGTAGTAAAATTATTATAAGCTATAATTTCAAAGGATTTACAAATGAGTTATAATATTGATAATTAATCTGATCTGAGAAAGGAAATTGTTACAACCAGGAAATTGTCTTTTCCCTTGGTTTCTTCTCTCAGTCGTCATTTTATTATCTTTATTGATTTTTTCCACTCAGTAGCTACATAATATCAGCAACATGTTGGCCTTAGATTTAGTAGTAAGACATTGATGAAAAGAACTAAAATCAGGTGAACCAAAGATGCTTTTAACAGTATTAGGTTTTGTATGATAAAAAGTCATTGAATGCACTCTTTGGATATGGACTCATTGTTGGAATGTCCATAGATGTTATGGTAACGGACATTCAGTCAGAGCGTTTGAGGATGAAATAAAAGTAGTAACTCCAAGCTTGGTTTATTGTTGTTCCTGTCACTGGATGTGCTCAGATCATAGGTATCATATGTATTATGATAATTTGCACAAAAACTTCAATTGAAATATATGTTACCGCTCTACTATATTCGTAATTACTTAGTTAATTAAGGTGGAGCAGTTACTTCTCGAGAGTACTTTGATCACGTTAGTGATACTTTCCTTCTGTCTATTCTTTAGCTTTCGTTCTAATTCTAGAATATATCAAAGACGCTTGGAATAAACACTCGTGGTGGAATGGATAACGGAACACACTTATTTTCCACGACTTTAATAATATGATAATTCTATAGTTCAGTATTTACACTGGCACAAATTCACATTAGCAATAACTGAGTGAGCGCGAGAGCGACTGGCTACTCACTTGGCCTTATATACATGATTACTGCTGAATGGGGAAGTAGTAAAGAGTCACAATCCCCTTAAAATCTACACTAGATCTATTGGTAAATATACAACCAAGTTATGATTGTGACAATCACATGAAATATATACTCCAATATTATAAAAGGATTAACATAGTTACTACCATTCCTGTGACGTGGAAGGCGCCTTATGACTTGTCAACTTGTTTGTCTATGTGGAACTATGGAATACCTATTTTTGTTTCCCTTTGATAGATCTTGAACCTTGCAATATGAACCATGAAGTTTGCGCAATATTATTCTCATACAGCTAGGATGATGGTGGTAAGAACTTTTCATCACACACCAGGCTACAGAAATGATTACTGCCAATATGGCTACTATTGAAGTTATAGAAGCAAGAAAATATATTTATAATACTGTGATCATCCACCCGACATGAGAGATCACTGTATGTTTTACCATTGTTTTTCATGCTTTTGAAATGACTTCCTAAACCAAATTTTTTCCTTCTATAAGCTTATATATAGATATTGTGTATAATCACATTATCATCTATACATACCATTGATATTTATATGAAATAAAAACTGAAGTTTAATTCCTATTCTTACTTTCATAATCTAAAAGAATGCATTATAAAACAGCAAATAAAATAAATAAATAACTAAATAAAAAAATGAAAAAAATAATAATAATAAGATAAAACATTTGTTTTTTTCAGAGCTATGCAAGCAGAGAGTTCTCCCAGCCTCTGTGTCCGAACAAGTTTAGGTCTTCCGGAAGTGGTCTCCCGGGAGGACAGCCTTGCAACAAGTGCGCCAGTACCAGTTGAAAATCTAGATCCACGAGCCTATGGTTTGAAGTTTGAGCACAAACATGCTACAATTGTCACAGGTTTGTCTGGCAATATGATTGTCTTTGAGGAATTTTGATTTTGTTGTACTTTTTAAGTATCGTAATTGTCCTAGGATATTAAGAAAAAAAGAAAAGAAAAGAAACTAAAGACGTTTAGAAAATGAAATAAACAAGACCATCGTTTATCTGTGATGTAGCTTTATATCTTGGAAGCTTCTTGATTTTTAAGATTGTTAGGATTGTCATTATCTCGTCACATTACTTGCAGGATTCTGGCCAGGGGAGACAAAGGAACACAGCCAGCTCTGGTTGCACAGTAGAGAATTTGAAGAAAGATTTGGCATGGAGTTTGGACCTCACAATGTGCACAATGCTTTAATGCAGAAGATGATTGTATCTTCATTTTCTCAGGCGCTTGCACATGCCACATATCAAGGTAAGTTGGTGTGCATAGGTTCCTAGCTGGTGGATAGGGTGGTTAGTGACTGATACTTAAGTGTATGCATAAATACAGGTCATTATAAAGGAGAAATTTTGTTAAAATATTCAGTGGCCTTGTAAGATTACAAGTCATATCACTTGATTCACCACATCCTTTCTGGAGGCCCTGCATCGGCATGTCAGAGGTCACTTAAGTGCTGTTACAAGGCTGTCCTTTTCTCCTGTGTCAAAGATTGCACCCTGAGGAAGGTTCAGTGTCACACGATATTTGCATTTTGAAAGCTTACATACTTGTATCTTTCTCAGTTCTGATATATATTGAATTTCTACTACATTTCAATAAATTCTATATTGAATTATTTGCTATAGTAGGTAAGTTTATTTTGCTAGCATACCTTAGTAGATTATTGTCTCGGTGGTTACTTGGCCACAAGCTGAGCCAGCCAGAGATACCACCACTGCCAGCCACATACTCATGAGGCATTCTGGTTCAAGCAAGCAGACTATGTAGTGCTGTTGTGATAAATTTTAAAAATTAATTGCAGATCATATTCTTTCAGTTTCATTCTATAAGATTTGAATAATTATGGATTTTGTATTCAGGGATTTTACTTCTCATTAATGTATGCATTTTCAGGCATAAGTCACAGTTTACAAGGAAGTCAATGCAAAGCTGATTGTTCTTGGATGCCCTCCTTTATTCAGAGATATTTAGTGAAAAGGCTGCCTGCTGTAATAGATACCTTTTTTATCTTTTCAGGATTTGGCCCAGTGACAGAGCTGACTTACCCAATTGTTCAACAGTCAGCAATATCAGACGGTCAGAAATGGAATTTCAGCTTGTACCAGATGAACACATGTGCACTTCATTCAGAAAAGGCTACTGAAAACCCACATAATAACATTCTATGGTGAGTTAAACAAGCCATTCATGTAGGTGCATTAGTGACTATTAATCAGTGTACATTTTGCTTTTTTTTTTTTTTTTTTTTTTTTTTTTTTTTTTTTTTTTATATATAGTGCTTATTTCTTCCACATTTCTCATTTGCACTTATTTCTTCTACATTTCCTCCTCTTTTCCCCCTCCTCCTTTCCTTTTTTTTTTTTTATGTCTTGTCAGAATCTGATTGGTCAATAAAAATCTGACAATTGTTAGTGGTATAGGATGTATTCTAGGTAATACAGTGCTAGTTTATATGTTTTTGAAAGCTTTGAAGATGCAGAATTTTTTTTAAATAATCACGACAGCAAAAAAAGCTTCCTTATGTAATAGGTATGCATGTATTTTTCTTTTCTTTTTCTTTATTACACTTGATTATGTATTTCAGGTTGAGTCCAGAACAAAAGCTCTTTGAGGCTGTCGAAGAGAGTGGAGTGAAGGGGCTTAATGAAGAGGTCCTGACAACTCTCATTGCCATGTACCTGAAAAAGGGCATCGCCAGAGAAAATCCATCGCCCTACCTTGCTCCTTATAAGGTATTCTGGACTTTCTTTCTGTCGTTTGTATTTGTAAGAGATATTAGTAGGGATGATTGAATTTTTTGGCTTCTTCTTGTCTCGAGGAAGGAATTTTTTTGGATTGCACTTTAGATTCTCATGTTTTCCCTCTGCCCCTCTGTAGCACCTAGCTGGCCACAACGCTCCTGAAGAATACCGCGCGGAGTTCCAGGAATACCTCCAGGACTTGCTCTCAGGACGTCCCAGGCATCTGCTCAAACCAGAAATGTACCTATGGGAGAAGATTTACAAGAGGGACAACAACACTAGGCCTTACGAACCTCCTCGTCGGTTCTTTGAGGAACATTTGTAAGTCTGGACAAGAGTAAGAGTATTGATAGGTGGAATGTAATTGGTAAGGCTTCTCCATCAGATAAAGTATAAATGTTAGTGGTCTATTTTTTTTTTCTTCTTCTTCTTCTTCCAGAGAGGAACTGTTGATGAGTTTAAAACATCCATTCCAATTGTAGTTGTGCTTTTTTTCATTCTAAAGGATTAAACCTTTTTTCTACCTTTCTTGTGATGGAGATTGATTTTTGAAATTGTAATGTTGGAATGGAGTTAAGTTTAAGTAAGTTATTGATGATTTTGTCCTTTTTTTTCTCCCCTCTGCTTTCTCACTTTGTTGATATATCTCATTTTTCCTTATGGATGTAAAGTCCTAAACAAGATCAGTAAGCTCTTGTTTCCACATTTTTTTTTTTTTAAGAGTAGATCTAAGAAATGAGCAAAAATTATGGTACAATTTTTCTTGAATTCCTGTGCCTCATCTTTTTCTTTTTCTCCTTTCAGCAATCAGAAGAACCCCGAGAAGAGGCGTCTTGATGATTATAGTCCCATCTACATTCCTAAAGCTTGCAGAAAAGATAGGAAAAAGAAATTCAAACCCAGATTAAATTCAGAGCACCTTTTTAAGTATGATTGATAGACTGTTTCTGAAAATGAGAGTGGGAAAAAATCATGTAGCTTGACTTTGAGAAATGGGGTCGGCTTTACAAAAAGTGATAGAAATGCAGGTGCATTATTTATTTGTTGACGAATTAGTCATATTGCAACTTAAATTGTTATAGTTGTTATGCCACTGTACAGTTCAGAGCTAGGATGTGAGTGTTCATTTTGTAAATAAATGTTTATAATACATTTTTTATCTTTTATTTATCATGTTTGTCTCATGCCCGTGCTGATATGTAACTGAATGCCTCTAAATAAAAATATATATATCTCTTAATAGGTCAATTTGTTTTGTCTTATCAACTGTAAGTAGGTTCAGTATTTCAGTGAATGATGTTTTAAGTTATTAGCTTAACAATAATTTTAGGCAACTGTTAAAATCAAGAACCAAATTTTTAAGGATGATAATGTTGAACATTGTTTTGGAAAAGGTAGTATACTACATATACTGGCAAAGAAGATGCAGTTTTCAAGAGTAATGAATGATTTTTAAAGATCACACCCCCACAGTCCCTTGTTTGATGTGGAGAGGGGATCTTTCGAAGGAGGAGACTGAGGCCCAATGTACTTTGTACTTTGGTCTTCAGTCCTTGCCTCAATTAATTTTGCATGGTATTCTTTTCTTCTCCTCCTCTCCTTTTCTTTCTCTTCATCCCCTAATTCCGTCCACTCCCCCCCTCCAATCCCTTCCCCGTTTTTATCGTGGGGGGGCTTAGGAGACGGAGACTAAGGTCCAAGGCAGGGGATCTTCCCTGCCTTGTCTTTTCTTCCCCTTTCTTCCTCTTATCTTCCCCAACCCTTCCCCTATCCATTTCCTAAGGTGTAAGAGCCGTGTTGAAAGGATGAATGGCTGACCTTGTGCCAGTCATGAACGGCCTCAGGAAGCAATGGGTACGGTATTCCTTGGTAAATCACATTTATCTCTTACCCCTTATAGGGACCCTGAGGGTGGATCCTTTTACCTTCCCAACAGCTGTAAGGCTTACCTTTGCCAGTCATAAGCTTGTGCACTATCTACTCTGACTGACCTCAGTAGCAAACCTATTCCTGTCGAACTTCACTCTTAATACTTGTACTGGAACTGTCTGGTTTGTGACGAGAACTGGTCAGACTAAAAACGACTTCCTCGCCTCTCTTACTGAATATGATGCACTATTCCTCCTGGAGGCCAGTGTAATTCCTACACCAATTGTGTTATGCCCTGTCTGACCATAACAACCCTTTCCTCCTAAGACCCCCACAACTGGGGGGCAATATCAGAAATGTTGGCATTTTGGCCACCCACCCAAACTGTCGCTCAACAGCCCGCTGCCCTTTGTGTGCTTGACTGTTTAAATTGTTCTGCTCAGTGAAAGAGAGAAAATGAAAAGGAAGGAGGAAAAGAAAGAGAGAGAGAGAGAGAGAGAGAGAGAGAGAGAGAGAGAGAGAGAGAGAGAGAGAGAGAGAGAGAGAGAGAGAGAGAGAGAGAGAGAGAGAGAGAGAGACAGAGACAGAGACACGGATATGTTAGTGTTATAGCAATCCATATTATTAAGTTTGAATTGCGCGCCAAAATATTTTCGTAAGATGCAATGCCTTTTTGGAAAATTAGAATATTAATATTTCATTCAATTTTTCATGAAATTTATTTTGCATTTTAATAATTTCAGTCACAGAATATACTTAATAGAGAAACAAACTCCTAATAACTTGTACGTGCTAAAGATAAAAAGCTCTTCTTTTGAAAGATGTATAGAGAAAGTAACACCATGTTGAGAGAGGCGGTCCTGTTCGTTTTCTGATGGAAAGTACACAAGAAATCGCTATTTTGCGGGACTGTAAAGAGGTGCACCTTCCTCAAAATCAACTAATGGTATTGGGAGACTGCCAAAATTATTGAGTGATATATCCAGCTATCATTCTGGTAAGAATCTAATATCGACTTTCAAAACTTATTAGTTTGTCATACGATGAAGTGTAAGCATGTGTTTTGGATATTTCTTTTTTTATGTTTTCTTTTGTATTGAATATTGTATTTTGTTGCTCTGCGCGGAATAACCATTACATATGGTTATTCTACGGATTGAAATTTGACCAATACATGAGTCGCAGACAACCTGTCATTCCTTAATCTGCAGTCCACCGAGCACATGGTCAAGGCCAGCCGAGAGAGAGAGGAGAGAGAGAAGAGAGAGAGAAGAGAGAGAGATGTTAGAGAGATGTTAGGAGAGAGATAGAGAGTAATAATAATAAAAATCATAGGGAAGAAAGAGGGGGAAGAGAGAAAGAAACTCGTCAGCAGATCCAGGGAGGAAGAAGAGCCAGAGAAACCAGAGCCTCCCGCGTGCTCACACTGCAAACGGCAAGAACACAACGAACTGAGACTTTTGCAAGGCAAGAGGTCACGCTCTAGACAGTTGCAGGTGGAAGGCTTCGGCAGATAAGGCTTAACTGCTCGAAAGAGAGCTTGAGGACTTTCTTGTCAGAATATCGAAGCTCTCAAACACAAAACGGTAGTTCACCCTCAGCCTCTACTACCATCTCCGCCACTTCAACAGCGACACTTCTTTCCACCCCCACACTGGGCCGCTCATCAACTCGCTGTTCCATCTTGGTCACATCTGTATAAAAAGTATGAATGAGAATGGATATCTTCACAATACAAGAAATGTATTTGGCCGGTTTCGATTCTACCTTCGTCGTATTTCTGACGGAGATAGAATCGAAACCGGTCAAATATATCTTGCATTGTGAAGATATCCATTCTCATTCATACCTTTTATACATTTGTCAACATGAATACGGTACATTGGTCACATCCTAACTTTAATAGCCACCAGTGTATTAGATATCATTGATTCATACCCCTCAAAATAATAGCCACATACACCTCTGTCTGAGTGAGGATGAACTAAGTTCTGTCTGCTATGTCAGAGGCCTCCGAACCAATATTGATGAGATGACTCACTATTAGTGCCGGCATAATAGTGGCTACTGAAACCTTCCTTAATGCAGAAGTAGAACCTACTTTGGTAAGATACGAGGCTACTCGCAGTGGCAAAGAAGAGACAGGACAGGAAAGAACTTTGGAGGTGTGGCTGTATGCTACAAACAAAATCTACTAATTCAATTGCTAACAGTTGACATACCAGACTGGCTGGAGGCTATCTTTTTGAAGGTCAAATGTCAAACGAGTCCCTGCTACTTTGCGCTCATTACAGGCCACAGTGGCAAGGCAGGACTTCGATAGATTTCCTAACGGATCACTTAGACGTCCTTCAGGCTCGCAACAACTGTCAGCACCTCTTAATAGTTGGGACCTAAATCCATCTCAGTCAGTCAGTATATAAGAGAGCTCTCAGTTCAACGGGCTGACAGATTACTGATTTCCGACCGCACATCCTTCTCTAGATTTAACACGAGGACTTTATCCTTCTTCAGGCCGATGATACATCCTTGGTAGATTCAGAATCACAAGACACTAACCAAAAGCTCGAAATGCTATGACTCAAAACCAGATGCTATCAGGCGTCCAAAAATAAATATAGATTGTGGCAAATGTACAAAGCTAATCCCACAAGACATAATAAAATAATGTACAAAAATGCTTGCAAAAGATGAAGCACATGCAAAGGGGCAGCAAAAGATGGCAAGAGGAAACGAAAAGAATCGATCAACTCAGCAGGCAGCAAGGAGTGGCGGTCTCATCATCGAGCACCAAGGGAAACCCGGGAATCCACAATACCTCCACTAACCAAGCCCGATGGAACAACTGCTCCAGGTAATCGGGAAAAAGCTGACCTTCTGGGAAGCTCTTTTAGTCGCAAAATAACAGTGCCAGATGCCAACAGAACACCTCCAGAGATACCCTCAGTATGCTATGAACAACTCCTCTTATCTGCCTTCAAGAGAGATCCTGCACAAACACAAAAGCAACGATGACTCGCATGTGCCTGCAGTAAGTTATCCACCGTTATCATCCATCTTCCAGTCATGTACCGAAGAAAGCTTCTGGCCCACCATCTGGAAGGAAGCAGTGAAGTGCTTAAGAAACAGTCAGAAGCAAAGCAGACAAAAGCCCATCTCCCTTCATGCTCAGCAAGATATTTGAGATCATTGCTGAACAGCTCATGGAACACTTGGAAAACCACAATCTTATTTCCATCAGGCAGTTTTCTCAGCCAGATCGACTGCTGACCTACTACTGCTGAGTAAAAAATGGCAGGATGCTCTAGTAATCGCCCTCGACATCGCCGGCGCCTTCGACCGAGTGTGGCACCGAGGGCTCCTCGCTAAACTACAAGCAAGGGGCATAAGCAGCAACCTCTTGCGGCTCTTTGGTGATTACGTCACTAGAAGAGCACTGCAAGTAGTCATCGGTGGCGAGTCATCCCACAAGTACCCGATAGAGGCGTCGGTACCACAGGGATCTGTACTTGGCCTAATCCCATATAGTACATCTACTTTAATGATATGCTTAGGGGACATCCCGAAATCTAATCGTATGCTGATGACTGCACACTTTCTATTTCGTACCTGCGTAAGGATCATAACACTGTAGTAATGGATATGAATTCGAAGTTACAAGCAAGCCACGACTAGGGATCACAATGGTAAGTATGTTTTGCTACCAACAAGACCCACGCAATGGTTATATCCCGCTCTCTAGCTGCATCAGACGTCAAGAAGGACAAGATCTTAATGAACAACACCGCCCTTCCACTCGAGGACTTTATTTCAATCCTTGGTGTGGACATAGACAACGAGCTCAGATTTAACAGACACGTCAGCAGTATCTGTAAAACAGCTTCTATGAAGGTGACAGCTTGTATATCTCACTTCCTGGATCCTCAAGGAATTCTCGCGATGTACAAGTCCCAGATCAGACCACAAATCTGGTTATTGTTTACAAAAAACTTCGTTGGGTTTTCAAATAAGCTCCTTTAGAAAGTCTCAACTTCCGGGGGGGGAAGGAGAAGGGGGGGGGGAGGGTAAAGGGGGACGAGAGAGAGAGAGGGAGAAAGAGAGGAGAGAGAGAGAGTAGAGGAGAGAGAGAGGGTAGATATATGAAGTGCCATTAATATATAAAAACATGTATGTAAACCATGTATATAATTCACATATATATTACCCATACCGACTGTACTCATGCCTCCTCGATTGTACAACATAAGAGGCTTTCATAACTTTTTATTGCACACTGTATAACGTGGCATCCCTGTTTTTCTTTTTCTGACTCACGCATGCGCACGGCACGCATCGTTAGAGGTCCCGAGCAAGGTGGCGTGGAAGGACGCATCCCTTTCTCTCTCTGACGTGCCTGCTCTCTGCATCAGCCAATACACCCAGTGGTTGAAAGAACCTACAGTGTTTACTTCCACCTCTATAGGGGCAGTGTTTGGAGGACTTACAGGGGAGGGGGAGAGAAGAGACAGACAGAGAGAGAGAGAGGTGGGGAGGGAGAGGAGAGAGAGAGAGAGAGAGAGAGAGAGAGAGAGAGAGAGAGAGAGAGAGAGAGAGAGAGAGAGAGAGAGAGAGAGAGAGAGAGAGAGAGGTGGAAGAGAGAGAGAGGGGGGGGGAGAAGGAAGAAGGAATAGAGAGAGAGGGCGAGAAAGGGGAGGGGAGGAGAGAGAGGGAGAGGCCAAAAAATATTGATATGTAATAGGGGAAAATATCGTGTAGGAAATGTGTTTATGGATAGATGTGACAACAGACTAAAGCTGACACTGAGGGATATTATATCGAAATTCATATTGCTCAAATAAACGTGGTCATATTTTATTTATTTCTTTGACATATAATATCATTTTCTATTTTGTGGTTTGGCTGTTCCTTATCATATTGTTTATTAGATTCGGTTGTTTAAGATAACAGTTCGAAGATGTATTGTGGAAAATATCTAGACTTCACCATCACAACAACGCTCTTTTATGAACTGCTGTTAGTGAATCGACACATTGCTACTCCGAAATTACACGCATTCTCCCTATATTCAAACATATTTCCAAAAATCCACTCTGAAATTCCACGTTACGCGTATTTTTACATTTAACATATTGCAAAAATCTCATACCTTAATAGAGCATCATGCAATATTTCAAGTTGAAATGATCGTTGCAGGGAATTTGCCAGCGTGATGCAACGAAAACAACACCCAAAGTTAGGTCGTTTTCTCCGTGAGTGCCTGAGTGGGTTCGCTTTTCAACCGAGACCGAGTCATAAACAGAATGCCACCAAGCTGAGAGAGACTGAGTTTAATGCGTGCAGAGCAGTGAACACCATTATGAACATTTAATTTGATTCTCAAGAGTAGTGACTATTATTAGTTTTGATTCTTTGGGAAATATGAAGAATCACATGAAGCTTACTTTTGCGGAGGGGGGGGGGTAAGCTTTCAAATTGAATGAATTGTTTATTCGTGAATACTGCAATTCAGAATGTATCGACATTATTATAGTATTTTATTAATTACAGTAGTCCCTTGAGGTAGTAATTGATATACAGGATCATTCTTAATATATAAATCTTCCTTGGCCACTTTGATTTCAATGTTGATAATGATTTAGGCAATGAAATCCCATTTAATAAACACAATGACAGAACTTTGCACGAGAGAGTCACTCTATAAATACTATTGTCATGGTAATAATTCAAAGTTCATCAACATTCTCGGAATATTGGGTATAGTTCACCCGCCAGCACCACCACTATGCAGCATGCCTCGCAAAGACTCGTATAGTATCCTCATATTATTCCATCCGTTTAATTAAACTTGAAGAGTAAATAACACAGCTTAGTTGCGGCTTTGAAGTTCTGTAATATTTCTATTAATATGTATCACGGCGATGAGGTTTACCCAAAGTATGTATAAAGGGGAGTTCATTATGAAGTAATGTATAATGGCTATTTCTATGTATGTCATTAAGATACTGTCTCGGGGCATTATGTTTAATCTAGCTTAGGGTTCCCACTAATGCAGTTAAACTCTAGTTGAATGTCAGATGGCAATATCTCACAACATAATTCCAACATCATTTTCTCTTTATTTATGTCAAATAAAACATAAAACTCCTATATATATGCATTACTGTACATATGCAAACGTAAATACAATGATGTGCAAGAAGAATAACAAATAAATATATAATTATACAAGTAAATCCATTTTACTAATTTCCTCTTCTTTCAGCCACTAACTCTACTAAATAATGGAGGACTGTTATTAAACATAGACGTATTGGAAACTAGCACAATACCCGATTCCATCATTTTAAGTACCATTTTTTTTTACGACTATTCGCATTTTATTTTAAGGAGCATTTCCATTGTGGCGTATTCTACTGTATGTTTTGTTGTTTGCATAAGCATTAACAGAGTAAAATAAATTTTTTGCTCTTAGTTCAACATGGATGCAGGGTTAGTCGTGCGTTCTTCCAATATATTTTATATAGAACGGTGTCTGAATAGCTTGCTGGAAGAGCAAGGCAGAAAAAAGAATCTTCTATCCCTTTTTCTCTCCTGCTCTCCCTCTCCCTTTCTTTATGTCTGTTTGTCTCTGTCTCCCTCTCTTTACCTTTCTTTCTCCGTTTTTTGTTTTTTTACACCTTTTTTCCCCCGTCTCTTTCCTTTCTATTTTCCGTCTTTCTCTGCTCCTTTCCCTTTTCTTCTTCCTCTACTCCTTTCCCTTTTCTTCTTCCTCTTCCTCTGCCGCTCCCTGGTCAAATCATAGATTCCGATACAATTTCAGTATCAATTCCAAAATAGGATCGATAGATGTATTACGAATAGAATCTAATCCCGTTGTAAAGAATTCATCCGAGGAACCGAATGGCAGTAGTCATTACTGATAAAAAAAAAGTTGTCTATGAAAAAAGAAAATAAAAGAGTAACGGCGTTATTCCGGGGATAAAAAGGCCTAGATTAGCGACGTAGTTTCATGAATTTTAATTCTGAAAAAATGAAATGGAAGCCAAGGTCAATTAGATGATTAGGTTAGCAATGTCATTTAGTCATGATAAAAATGCACCCCCCGAAAATTAATTTCATCTGTTCTATCTATTTTTACAACTCTAGGGAAGAATCCTTGAATATTTTCGTTATTTCTTCAAATAAGATGACTTGCGTCTCTACTTTGCTTCCGACAACATTCCTTATATCCCTCGTTTGTTGATTCATAAACGGCAAACTGATCTGACATTTCGGAAAAAAAAACATGAAAGATTGTTGAAATGTAAGGCAAAAAAAAGGCGTCTTTTGTTTTTCTGTATTCTTTTAGAGTCAGGTATGAAATGTGTAATTTAAAATCAGAAAAGACAGTTATAATAGGGGACGCGCTGCACTACATTTATGCATCTTGTGATGTCGCATTAGACTTGACAGTCTTTTAGAATTTTAAGGCAACATAACTATATCAGTGTCTTGAAGTGTTTAGTTCTTTTTTCCTTTGTTAACCAAATTACACATAGGTTTCAGGTAGCAGTAATATATTGAATTCATTTTGCACTTATATTTACAGTGTAATTTAACTGTATCACAACATTTTTCCGAAGTGCCATGGTTAAATACCCAATGCTAATACTACAGCAGTATTTCCTTTGTCATATTACTATACATATTCTTTACTTCCGGTTCTGTTACTTATTTTGAATTGTCTTTTATGGTGACTTACATTCACCTACACTTTTTACCCCATGACCTTTCTCAGATCTTATTCCGTTTTCAGATTGCCGGTTTTATACTCAAAACTAAAAAAAAAACTGATGAATCTCGTCAACAGTTCACTTCAAAATACCTTCTAGTTGCTGATTTGTTAATGTTATTTATCTTTGTACGTGGATACTTAGTTTTCAACAATCATTTTTCAAACCCAATTCTAAATAGATTTGACAACATAGATTGAATTTGATTATTATAAGGTTGTAGATGGTTATGAGGATATTTCTATTTATTGAATATTTTCTGCCGTGTCGACATCTAAGGTCATTAGCAGCGAATTCGATATATAACGGTATGGTAAGGCTTGGAGGCGTGTGGAGGATAAAAAACTAGTTCGCAGTGTATATGCAGATGTGTGTGTGTGTGTGTGTGTGGTGTGTGTGTGTGTGTGGTGTGTGTGTTGTGTGTGTGTGTTGTGTGTGTGTGTGTGTGTGTGTGTGTGTGTGTGTGTGTGTGTGTGTGTGTGTGTGTGTGTGTGTCTGTGTCTGTGTCTGTGTGTGTGTCTGTGTTTCTGTGAGCATATGTATCATAGGAAATTTTTAAAGAGAACTTGAATAAGTAATCATATTTTCCAGCATCATTACTTTTTTCCTAATTCGCTTGTGATGTTTCGATATACATTCTCGATGGATAAAAAACAGCTTAAAGGCAGGTATAAACACTTCATTTCAACCGATCTCACCGTAATTAGCGATCTAGATTTATTAATTACAGTGACGCTATTCCATTCCTAACAGCCAGCTCTAATGAAATGTAAATTCATGCTTTCCATTAATCCTATCAAATCTTGAAAACCTATTTAATATTTTGTGTTAGTCCCACGTATTTCATATGTTTACAAATAAATCAAGAATCTATTATATAAGCATATATATGTTCTATCAAATCAAAACACTATCTTCCTAAAGTATACTGGCTGTCTGAATCAATATGATAATACCTCAAAACTTGTTTTCATAAGCCTAGAATTATGATTGAATAAAATCTTAGTTATGTATAGTGTGTGACTACTTTAATTGTCTAGGACACAATAGTCAGCCTTCTGTGCTCATTATTTGTTTTTCATAGAGTCCACTTAGATTCTTAAGGGTTTTATGTGACTAAAGTAAAATGTGTGAAGAACACTATATGTAAGTTCCCCCTTAATGTTTAGATTTTCCTTTTGTTTCTGTCTATGCTAATAACTTTACTAATATGTTACACAGGTAGACAAGAGAAATGCAATTTCATATGGCAACTTTTTATTTCAATTGTGTATATCAGTACAGTTAATAGTAAAATATTAACAATATTGTGTAGTCGTCATGCTAGAAAAATAGCTTTGTTTCAGGGTTTCATTCCCTTGAAAAAAGGACATTCACACAAGCTTCATATCACTGTAACATTTTTAGTGTCCAGTGGCTTACAGATGACAATGATGAAACAAAGCATTGATGTTTTTTTTTATTCGTGTATTTAGTGGATTACTGATGACTTCAAAACATTCATCATTGTCGTCCAGTCTGTGGAAGTCTCCTGCAGAAGCTGATGCAATTATGTATGTCAAAAATATTACCTAGCAGCATCCAAAGCAGTACAGAATATACATCCTCTGATATATACAGCATGTATAGATATGTATTACAGTACAGAGTTTCACAATCTCACTGTAGTTCAGTCATAATCACAGAGAACACTAATATCTGCAGGTTGTCTGTTACGTAAGGCACTAGTCTGCTTCAGTCACAAGAAAATGAACAAGAAAGTTTTGGAGGTAGAAGAGTAAGCTCTGCTTTGCCTCATTAACATGACTAAAAAAGCATAACGATATTTTTTATTAGAATTTAATAGCTGCCACTCTACCACCAAAATAAATAGTCCTGTCTCGGAAACAGAGAAACATAAACGTTCGCTCTGTTTCGGTCACAAAGTCATAAATTAGTCCCCTGTAAACATGTCAGCTCGAGAGGTGCTGGCGACCCCAAGACACGTCCGCCTCGTCGTCTGCGGTGTCTTGGGCGGCCGTCTCTCTTTCTCTCCCTTTCCCCCTCAAAATTACAGTACCGGAGGGAGAATGAAAACGAAACTTGGAAAGAAAATAATAATATCAGATGAGTCTATCCCAGTTTTGTGTTACGACCTGGAAGAGCGCGGAAGGTAGCCTGTTTCCCCGTGGCCGCCTTCTGTCCTCAGGAATCGCGAACGGGGCTCTTCACTCGAGGATACAGCTGGAAAGAAAGGAACAAGTTATGCATCTAACAATTTATTCATCGCATATTATATGCACTCAATAGTTACTCTTCATCCGTTAAAAAGTATACCAGTGACTATACAATTTTTTATTTCAACTTTTATTCGGAAGAAAGAAGTATGTACCACTCCATACATCCACGTCCATTTAAAACAACCCACCATCCTTTCCAAAAAAGAACCCTCTACCTCCCCATTCATTTCTCCATCCATCCCCAACAAAACGCCCAACAACAAGATCTCACCCCGAGTAAATTTCGCGGAACATAGCCTTGAATATCGCGTAGCTGTCCCCACCACCACTCCCGCTCGTACTCGTCCCCGCGCCTCAGGATCGTCAGGGCGTCTCCGCAGCGGAAGGTGAGCTCGTCTCCCGCCTGCCCTTCGTAGTCGTAGACACCGAAGACGACGCCGCCGTTCATTATGCCGAGCTTCTCCTGAACGCCTGCGGAAAGGGGTGGAGGAAAGTTGTATTTTTTGGAATGCCACAGAGTAAGGAACACTTAGGTTCCTAGGGTGATGTAGGAAGGAAATTTTGAGATAAGAAAGAATATGGTTTTGTGAGTAAACTAAACATTTGAAATAGGAAAAATAAGATTTAATCGGCATAACAGACAAGGAAAAAAATGGGCATCATTCCCCTTCATAAAAGATACGTGTCAATTTATCAATCTGATTACCAAAATCTAACACAAAAAAGAACGAAAATAACCAGAAAATCGCCATTGATATTCCTGTTAATAAACCAATGATTTCTTACTCGAATTAGTCACTTTCAAAATCTCCGTAATTAGAACGAATGAAAGAAAGAAACAAGGAAAAAAAATATTGACTTACTAGCGACTTACTGTATAGATATTGGGAACATCCGTCATATCCCTCCTCATCCTGCTCGCACTTCTCGGCTGCAGTCTCGTGGTCAGACAGCGTGGTCGCGAGGATGCAAGCACCATGCTCCACCAGGAACCTCACCATTGCTACGTTGTTGCAGGAGGCAGCGCAGTGCAATGGGGTCCTGTAGGGGGGAGGTCGGAAGAAATGATTTTTAGTAGTGTCGGATTACGTAGTGACATATCAATTTGTTGTAATCATTAACCATAAACGCATTTGCATATTGAACTACTGTTGAAAGAAAAAAATGTTTAAAGAGTTGATTGAAAGATTGAAAAAATATATGAATGAAAGAAATCTTATCAAACAAATATGAGAAATGATAGTTTTCTCCCTTTCGATTCAACATCCCTTCTCTATAATAAATAATATGCCAAATTATATCCATCACCCTTTTCCTCCTCTAAGCCAACGCTACAAGAAATTATACCAATTTATATCCATCACTTTTCTTTCCTCTTACAGCCTCAAAAATAAACCCATTTTCATCCACTTCTTTTCTTCCCTTCTGCAACCCTACTCTACACAATCAAAATACACCCACACATCCATCACTTCCTTCCCTCCTACAACCCTACTCTACACCTTCATCATAACCCCCCATCTACCCATCCCCTTCGTCCCTGTCCCTCACCATCCGTCCGAGTCCTGGGCGTTGACATCGCAGCCGAAGGTAACCAGGAACGTGACGATGTCGAGGTGACCGGCGCAGATGGCGTTGTGCAAGGCGGTGATCCCTTCGTCGTTGGCGGCCGAGGGGTTGGGCACTTCCATGGCGGTGCGTTTGACCAGCTCGAGCTCCCCCTCAAGGGCGGCGTCGAGGAGGAGGGCCAGGGGATCGAAGCTCACCCGGCGGGGCACGCGGGACGAGTTCTTGGTCTTGAGGTTGCCCTTCTTGATGCGGCGGACGATGGAGGTGTTGGTGTTGTTGTTGTTATTGTTGTTGTTGTTGTTGTTGAGGCTCGTCGATCCGTTGCTCTTCTCTACGTCGCCTTCTGTGGGAGTGAATAACGGGTTAATAAAAAAAAAATAGTAAGGACATAATTAATCTGTTAAAAGTCAGTCCTAAAGCTTAACTTGCTGTCCTTTTAATCAATACATTTCTTTCACAACTTAACTGTCTTTGTAAGATAAATATGCACACGTTTTCTACGTGATCTTTCCCATTGTGCAAAGAAAACTAACAAACAAAACCTACCTGTGAGTCCTTCGATTGGCACCGAACTAGTATCCGCGCCGTCGGGCTGTCGGGAATCGTCGCTGGGAATGTTCCCTCCCGGCGCGTTGTTGTTCGCCGCGTGGAGGTCCTCCTGGCTGTTCCTCTCCTCCTTGGCGTTGTCGATCCTGAGCTTCTCCAGCTCGCTCAGCGGCAGGGCGGGGGGCACCTGCAGGTTGTCCACCGCGTCGACGGCCCCGCCCCTCTCCTTGTGCGCGTCGCCGCCCCCGTTCTCGATCTCCTCGACCCTCCGGCCCAGCAGGTCCGACGGCGGGGTCTCGTCCTCGGGGAACATGAAGTCCGGAGGCATTTCGATGCGGCTGTTGATCGACACGTGCACCTTCTCGCCGCCCTCGCTCTCCGACTTGGCGATGCCGCTGTTGTTGTTGTTATTGTTGTTGAGGACGTTGTTGGCCACTTTGGAGCGGTTGTTGTCGTCAGCGCCTTCGCCGGACTGGTTGTCTGGGCCAGGCGGCTGCTGCGTGTAAGTCGACATTATCACGTTCTGACTTGCATACCTGCGGGGGAGAGGAGAGGCGCGTCCATGAAAATACTTGATGTGCTTTGCAGGGTTCAGAAGGCTAAGTCAGTCAGAAAGGCACGCACACACACACACCACACACACCACAAACACACACACACACACACACACACACGCACACGCACACATACACACACCACACACACCACACACACCACACACACCACACACACACACACACACACACACAAACACACACACACACAGCGAGCCGAGCCCCCTCACCTGTATCCTTGCTGGGGCCTTCCCTGAGCACCTCCTCGAACCGACGTCTGCGCTGCGTTCAGGCTCTCGTTGCTAGCCACGAGGGGGTCTCCCTTCTGGCGGGGGGAGGGAGGGGCTTGGAAGGGACGACTGGCTTGGGCGGCAGCCGGCTTGTTCCGCCCGCCCTCGCCGGCCGCGGGGAGGTCCTCGCTCCCCTCGCCGGCGCTTCCGACGGCGCGCATGTCGACGTCCTGCGGGGGAAGGGCGAGTCAGGTTTCAGGGCGGGAGCGATAACAATTAATGATAGCTTTTGTTTAGTTATTTGCATATTTATATATATATATATATATATATATATATATATATATATATATATATATATATATATATATATATATATACACATACATACACACACATATATATATACACACATATTAATTTGCCACTTTGGGTTTATCAAACAGAAACATGTACTAAAAACTTAATTTTCTGACTTTAGCATGAGTTTAAACACCAATGACATACTTTAGAAAGCAAACAAATATCACAAGAAAAATAATATTCATCCTCTTATATCTCAACCCAATTCACAAAAAAAAAAAAAAAAAAAAAAAAAAAAACAACTATCCTTCCAGAGACTATTCCCCATTTACCCCCATCTCAAATAAAACCCAACAAACCAATTCCCTTCAGAACAGGTCAAAGGTCACCCCCCGGAACTGACCTGAGCATGGTGATGAGGCAACAACAGGGTCCTGCTCTGTGCGTGCGCCGTGACCCCGGGACTCAGCTTCTACAACACAAACGGTTAGTCAGAACAAAGCACAACTCGCGAGGGGTTGCGGGGCGAACGAAATTCACTCGACATGTTGAGAAGAGAAAAGGGAAGAGGGAAGAGGAAAGGAAAGAGAAAGAGGGAGAGGAAGAAACTAAAGGAGAACAGAAAGAGGAAGACGAAGTGAAATGGGGAAGGTGAAGAGGAAGAGGAAGAGAAAGAGGATGAAGAAGGGAAAAGAGGAAGAAAAAAAAGGAAGAGGGAAAGAAAAAGAAAAAAAGGAACTGGAAAAGGAAAAGGAAGAAACAAAAAAGAAAAACATATAAACAGAAACTAACCATAAAATACAATAAAAACAACACAGTGAGATGTATTTTGTGAAACGTAAGAGGTGGGAGTTATTCCAAAGCAGTTTAGTAAGACAGGGGATACATTAGTACTCAAAGGGTTACGTTGTGTGAATATACTGAAGCTCAAATGATGAGATTAAACAACATATGTACTTATACTGGCAAGAAGTGTCAGTAGAAGCCAGATATGTAAATGAAAAAAATAGACTCGAACACAAACATTATCTCCCTATAGCATTAAGCAACATTCCTAAAATGTTAAAAAAAAACATATATCATTACAACCAAAGCACACACAACATAAAAAAACAAAAACAAACCTGCTCAACTCCCTCAAAAAAAAAAAAAAAAAAGAGAGAGAGAAAAAAAATTAAACCCTCCTTATCATCCTCCTCCTCCTCCTCCTTTATTAGAACAAACTACAAAAATGTTAGTCAGGAAAACAACTCACCTGGTTGAAGGAGACAGAGAGGGAGGTGGGAGGGAGGAGGGGGCGAGAATCCTGAGGGATAAACAGGGGCGGGGGTTAGTTACCACTACACTACGCTCCGGTTAAAGGCACTACGACAGAGTACGAAAGCAAAAACAATGATAAAAAACAAAACAAACATGGTGACAAAAAAACAAGGTAATGAAAAATAAAACAAGAAAATAGCAATGATAAATAAGAAAATAGCAATGGTAAATAAACAAATAGCGCTAAAAACAAAGATGAACAGCGATAAAGATTAATAAATAGCAACAAAGATAAACAAACAGCCATAAAGATTAATAAACAGCAATAAAGATTAATAAATAACAACAAAAAAAACAAATAAATAGCAAAACAGATAAATAAACAGCAACCGAAAAAAATAATGAACAAATAGCGTAAAAAAAAAACAGCAATAAAAATGAAAGAAACACAATCATAGCAAAAATTAAATTAATCTTAACACCATGCAACCGTGTCTTGTCTGTCTGTCTGTTTGTATCCACGAGTTTCAATAAGCGACCCAAACCGATGTTAATGAATATCTTCACAAAAAACGCAAAAAAAAGGAAAAACAACAACAAAAAAGTGAAATATGTTAGATAGGCTTAAGCTATCTAACTCCCGTGTTAGAAGCAATATAAATGGAAGCAGGTTCGGTCTTAATATCTGACGTTATTTCTCGAAACAAAAAAGAAAAAGGCAAAAAACGTAAACGAAACAAGAACAAAGTAGTTCTCCTGGTTATGATAAAGTTCTATACACTCAAACAAGGTTCACTACATTAAAGAAACTGTCAAAATCAAACAAAGACAATGGCATACTTGACAAGTGGACTAGCTCAACATTCAAGTTGTTCTCGTGCATTTCAAAACTTCAATCACATGCTAAAAATAAGGTCAAATTACATGCTAAAATTCAATGATAAATGCACGTAAAAGTACAACAAAAATTGGACTAATATCAATCTAAAAAAAAAAAAAATCAAACATGTTATATTACAAGAAAAACAAACTACAAACACGACTCACAAAATAAAGAAAATAACATAAAAAACTAATTTATGTCTTACACCAACCTCACACACTACGGCATCCACAAACACAAAACAAAAACAACACAAAAAACAAATCTCAAATGTTTTATTTTTCTCTCTCTTTGCTTTTCTTTCCCTTACCTGATTTTGCCCTAAAGTTGATCCCCCGAGAGGCTGCGATCGCTGGCTGAATTGCTGTGCTCCTGGACCATACACCCTGAAGAAGGGAGAGGATGTTAGGATTGCCGTTTTTCTTCTACTTTTCTTTTTAAGTAGAGTTATGTGTGTGTGTTTTTTTATTCTTCCTTTCTTTATCTATTTATGTCATGTACCTTGATCACAGTCCCCGCAGCTGGTCTTTAAGAAACCGGGCTATTTGTTTCAATCAAGGTCTGCCTTTAAACAAGAAAGCTTTAGAGGCACGCAATAGTCTGGTAAACAAGAGAGCACGAAAAGGCTTCGCACAGGCCCTTGGAAACAGAAAGAGTCCTACAAGGGAGTCCTACGACAGAGTCCTACCTCGGCGTCATCGCAGGATTGGGGGCGGGCTTGAGGGCGGCTGGCGGCGGGGCGAGCGGGGGCCCCTGGCTGAGGGCGGGCGCGTGGGCGTGGCCGCGGGAGGGCGGGTGCGTGGGTATGCTGTGGACCGTTCTGGTGACGACGGAGCCGTTGACGGGGGCGCCAGCGGAGGTCGCGGCGGCGGCGGTCGTGCCGTTGTTCTGCGCGCTGGAGGCGGGGAGGTCCGGCAGGGCGGTGGGGGGCGCGGTGCCGTGGGCGTGAGGGGGCCGAGTCCGAGTCTCCGCCCTGGGCGCTCTTGGTCTTGAAGGTCACGGAGAACTTGGTGTTGTATGGCAAGGTCTGGTACTTGGGGTCGTTCTTGTTGGGACCAAACTCTCCGAGGTCCTCGCCGGGAGGAAGCTGTCGGCGAAGGGACGAGTTAAGCTCTGAGTCTCTGGCTCAAGGAGAGTATCTCCAGCAGAAGACAGCGGAGGGGGACACAGCGAACTAAATCAAAATCTTATGAAGAAACCTTCCACTCACCTTGAGATGGTCGGGGTGTGAGTGTCGTCGGCAGAGTTCTCCGAGTGGATGCCGTCGCGCATGGCCTTCTGCTGCACCGCCTTCAACTGAGCTTGTTTGGCCTGCGTCAGTAGTAGTAGTAGTAGTGAGGGAGAGGAGAGGAGAGGGAGAGGGAGAGGGAGAGGGAGAGGGAGAGGAGAGAGAGGAGAGGGAGAGGGAGAGGGAGAGAGAGGAGAGAGGGAGAGAGAGGGAGAGGAGAGAGAGAGAGAGAGAGAGAGAGAGAGAGAGAGAGAGAGAGAGAGAGAGAGAGAGAGAGAGAGAGAGAGAGAGAGAGAGAGAGAGAGAGAGAGAGAGAGAGAATCGTTAGACTGAATACATACATCATCGATATGTACTATTTGGGGTTACCATTGACTATAACGTCTTCAACATCAATAAGCACATATAAAACGAAAATATCTGACCCCATTTTAAAACAAACATCACCAACAATCACCTCATTTCCCCGACTCTAACCTTATCTCCCCCCCCCCCCCAAAAAAAAAAAAAAAAAAAACCCCTCACCTCCCTAACCCCCACCACCCCCCTCCTCCACCCCTCCAACATCCATCCATCCACCCAAACCCCAAGAATTAACCCCCCCCCAATAAATAAATAAATAAAAAAAAAAGGCCCTTACCTGCGTGGCGGCCGTGATCTGGGAGGCGAGCTGGTGGTTGAGGATCCTCTTCCGGTGCAGGCGCTGCTGGAGCTCCGAGATGCGCTTGTCGATGCGCGTGATCTCGTCCCGCCGCGCAGCCAGCGTCTCGCGCTGCGCCGCCACCCGCGCGGACGCCTCGCGGTTCACGCTGTTGCGGTACTGCGGGAGGGAGGTTTAGAAACAGGGGGATTTTTTGGGGCTGGGGGATTTATTTGGGATTTTTAGGGCTGGGGGACTAAAAGAGGATTTTTGAGGAGGGGATTTTTTTGGGATTTTAAGGGATTTATTTGGGGATTTTTTTTTTGACTGGGCGATTAAAAGGGGATTTTTGAGGGCTGGGGGATTTATTTGATTTTTTTTCTTGAGGGCTGGGGGATTTATTAGGGATTTTTGAGGGCGTGGGTATTTATTTGGGGATTCTGGGGGGCTGGGATATTTGTTGGGGATTTTATAAGGCTGGGGGATTTATTTGGGGTTGGGTTGTTGGAGGACATATTTAGGTCCGGGGGATTGAAGATATATTTAGGAATGGGAATTTGGGGGATTTATTGGGGCTGGGAGATTTGGGGATTTATTGGGGCAAGGAGATTGGGGGGTTTATTGAGGCTTTGAGATTGGGGGAGCTCAGGATTTTTGGGTTTATTGGGCTGGGAGCTTTATATTTCATTTATTTATTCCTAAGGTGGCGGGATACTTTAAAAGTTTTTTTGGGGGGGTACCTAATATAATAACGAAAATAATAATTACAATAAAAAATAATGAAGATAGAAAGAATGAAAGAAGAAAGAAAGAAAGAAAGGAGAAAGAAAAAAATAAAAGAAGAAGAGAATGAAAGAAAGCCCAAATACAATGCAGAAAAAGAAAAAAAAAGACGAAAGATAAAGAAAAGAAAAGAAAAAAAGAAAAGACAGAGCGAGAAGAGAAAGAAAAAAACTACGAACACAAAGAAGAAAGATAAACAGAAAGAAGAAAGAAAAAGACGCAATAATGATAGCAGTAATAATCTAAAAAGAAAGAAAGAAAGAAGAAGAAAAAAAGAGAGAGAGAGAGAGAGAGAGAGAGAGAGAGAGAGAGAGAGAGAGAGAGAGAGAGAGAAGAGAGAGAGAGAGAGAGAGAGAGAGAGAGAGAGAGGAGAGAGAGAGAGAGAGAGAGAGAGAGAGAGAGAAGAGAGAGAGAGAGAGAGAGAAGAAAGAGAGAGAGAGAAGAGAGAGAGAGAGAGAGAGACAAAAAAAAAAAAAAAAAAAGATCCACCCTTACCAGCAGCTCCCTCCGCAGCTTATCCAGCTCACTGTGGTGCTGGTTGTTGGGGCTGAGCGGGGAGCGGCCGTGGCGGAGCTCCTCCAGCTGCCGGGTGAGCTCCTCCACCTTGGACACGGCCACCACCAGCTCCTTCTCCTTCTCGCTGAACAGGTGGCGCATGGCGTCGAGGTCCGTCGTCAGAGAAGCCGTGTTGTGCCGTGTTGCTTCCACCTGGGGGAGGGAGTGGGGGGGGAGAGGGGGAAAGGGGTTAGTTAGATAAGGTTGAAATGGTAATGAGGGGGGGGGTTGTATCGTTCATTCATTTGCTTTGTTTGTCTGTCTGTCTGTCTGTCTCTTTTCGGTCTCGTTTCTTTTGTTCCCTCCTTCCTCCCCTTTTTTTACTCTCTCCTCTTTCTCTTTCATTCCCTCTCTCTCCTCCCTCCTCCCTCCTCTCTTCTCCTCTCCTCCCTCCCTTATCCCTCCCTCACAGAACAGCTCACCAAAGACACGTATATATAAATATATATATATATATATATATATATATATATATATATATATATATATATATATATATATAATATATATATATATAATATATATATATATATATATACCTCTCTCCCGGAACCGCCCCAGCCATCCCGCGACCCCAATCACCCCAAGCGCCCGTCGATGGAATGCGGCGCAACCTAACAGCATTAAGGTAATCCCGTAAGGTGTTTAAGGAATGTCTTACGCCCCCCACCCTCCCCCATGCTCACCTCCCCCCCCCCCAATCCTCCATCCTTTCTTCCTGGCTCATACGCTCTGAGACCCTGACGCTTACTTCCTTCTTGCTAGGCTGAGGGTCTTACTCTCTTCCTTCCTGCTTTCGAGACTGGCCACTTGAATCTTCCTTCAGGAGGAGACCGTCCTTCAATCTAGCGTTTTATTTCCCTCATCCTCCTGTCCCTCCTCCTTCTTCTTCCATCTCCCTGATCGTCCGTCCTTCCTCCACCTCCATCCCCCTTCCCTCCGTCTTCCTTCTTCGCTCTCCCTCTGCTTCCCTCACCTCATTCGCTATCCCCTTAACCTCCTCTCTCTTACTCATCCCATCCCCATCCCACCTTAACCCTCCACCTTCCCTTCCTCCCTCTCCTCCCTCCTTCTCTTCCCCCAACCTCCTTCCCATCTTTCCCCCACCCCTATCCTCATTCCTCCCCTTTTACCTCTCCCTCCTCAGCATCACCTTCTTCCCTCACCCTCTCCCCCTTCCCTCACCTTCTTCCCTGACACCCTTTGCGGCAAGTGTCATTACGTTATGCTGTTTTTTTTACGCCCTTCCCTCCCCCCCTCCTTCCCTCTCTCCTTCCCTGCCTCCCTCCCTCCCTCCCTCCCTCCCTCTCTCTTCTCCCCCTCCTCCTCTCTCTCTCCTCTTTCCCCTCCTCCTCTCCCTCTCTCTCTCCCTCTCCTCTCTCCCCCCCCCTCAGCTGAAGTGCCACTCGGGTGCCATCCGCTGAAGGAGACGGTAATAGGATGTATCACCAACACGGAAGAGCGCCCTCCTCCCCCTCCCCTCTCTCCCCTCTCCCCCTTTTGCCCCATCCGAGTCGGTAATTAATTTTCCTGTCTCTGTTTTCCTTCGTCTGTCTGTCTGTCTGTCTGTCTTTCTCCTACTTCTCTACATCTTCCCTTTCTTTCCGAATTCTTTCATCTCGCGCTGTGTAGCAACTCGTCACTCAACATACAACACACAACACAAACAATACAACAAAACAACACACAACACGCATCACAAAACCGTTACAAATAAAAAAAAACACCTATTTACCCTTGCTCGAATCTCTCTAATCTGAACCGGATTTGTGGCACCATTTAATTACCCATTAAAAGCTTTTGATTAAGGCCTCAATCATTCAACTAACGAAGCTATCAGCCCGCAATCAATCCCAGTTTAATTACACCTCCGAAGCAGAATCAATTTAATACCAGTGTACTCGACACTGAAAAGGCGTCACAATCCGTGTAGTTTCTGCGCATCTCTAATCCTATTTCCATTGCTAATCATCTGCGGCTAATCCCAGGTACATTTTCTTAAATCTGCAACGTGCAATAAACCTATCTTTCTGCATCCATAACCATAATCCTAAATCTGCAATATACCATCAAACCCTCTTCTCTGCATCTATGAACCTAATCCTGAATTTGCCATGTCTAATCACTTTATTGGCCTACATATGCCATGCCAATCCTATATTCCTTATTCCGTATCTTCTTATCCACTTATTCCTTTGCATCTGCGACCCCAATGCTTATCCTTAAGTGTATCCTTATCCTGTAACTTGCACTCAACTTATTACGCAATTATACAAATCTTACTCTTAATCATGCAACATGGAATCCGCCTATTCCTTTCTATCTGCAACCCCAACCCGAATCTTCATCCTAAAAATAATTAATTTATTCCCTGCATTTGCAATCCGCCTATTCCTTTCTATCTGCAACCCCAATCCTAGTCTTCATTCTAGAAATAGTTCTTTTATTCTGTTGTATTTACAGACCTAATCTTATCTCTGCAATGTACATCTCCCTTATTCATCTGCATATATAATTCTGATAATAATCTTGCAAGGTGCAATCCACCTATCCATCTGCAACACTAATTCTATTCCCCTATATTATGCAATCCTAATCACAAGGTAATTAAAGACAGGTAGCACTACTTCGTCTCGATAAAAATCCTGATTTGGCAACTGCCGAGATAAGCCCCGCCTCTTTGCCTTCATTTACTGGAAATGTGAACAGAATTTTAATTTTTTTCATCTCTTAGTCGCTCTTTTAGATTATTATTTTTTCCATTGTCATTACTTGAACTATTTTCAGAGAAAACATGTCGTAAAATCACTGTCCTTAAAATACATCAAAGGTTGACAAGGGCGAAAAAGGGGCGGAGCTTATGACGTCATCCTGTTTAGCCAATGAGGGTGCGCTGTGTGATATCAGATACAGCTAGAAACATCATTATTTGCAAAATTACACTCTCATAAGCACCAGGAATCCAGCAAAAAATCCACTCTTCTATTTATAAATGACATGTTCAATTACATAAACATGACAAGGTTAAGTCAGTTTCATTTTTGCGTTTAATAAGCGACATAGAAGTGGCGCCACCTGTCCTACCTCGTCTAATTCCCATCCTAATCCCCTGAACTCCCTCTCCCCTCCCTCCCCCTCCTCCTCCCCCTCCCTCCTCCCTCCCTCCTCCTCCTCCTCCTCCCTCCCTCTCCTCCTCCTCCTCACTCCTCCTCCCACTCGACGCGAGAACCTCACCTGTCCCCTGAGGGCGCGCAACCTCCTGAGCTTGGCCTCCTGCGCCTCGACCCTCTCCCTCAGCCTCCTCAACCGCTCCGCCTCGGCAGCCACGGCGGCGGCCCGAGACTCCTGCTGCTTGAGGTACTTGAGGCGCTGCTCCCGGGCCACCAGGAGCTGCTGCTGGGACTCGATCTGCTGCTGCTGTCGGTTAGCCATATCGCGCAGCTCACCCACCGTCAGCTCGCATCCGTCAGGCAGCTGTTCGGGAAAAAGAAAGGGTTAATATCATCAGGGCTGTTTGGAGAGAGAGAGAGAAGAGAGAGAGAAGAGAAGAGAGGAAGAGAGAGAGAGAGAGAGAGAGAGAGAGAGAGAGAGAGAGAGAGAGAGAGAGAGAGATTAATATTTCAGTGGGTTGAAAAGACCGAAGAAAGGGATAATGAAAAAAAAAAAAAATAGAATGCAAAACTAAAAACACAAGAAAGAAAAATAACGAGAAAAAACACAATACAAAAACAAAACCGATGAAAAAAAACAAGAAAAAAAACAAAAAATCACAGTAAAAAAAAGAAAAAAAAATCAAACACCAACAACAAACGAACAAAAGAAAAAAAATCAATAACCACGAACAGACAAGCCTATAATAATCCCAGAAAAAAAATGAACTTTGCGAGGCGTCCTCCCCGCTACGCCGCTCCTGCATTCGTGATAAGAGAGCATATCCGGCGCTAAAGATGATAATTTGGGAACCGGCCGATCAAAGTAATGGCTCGCGTGTTATGCGTCGAGGTAATTCCGCCGGGGGAAAGCGACGTTATGAGGAATTGGAGGAATATGGAGTATTATGAGGAAATATGAGTATGGTGAGGAGTATAATGAGAAATGAGTATGTGAGGAATTTGAGTATTGAGAATAGGATATATGAGGATTATTATGAAAATATGAGTATTGAGAATATAATTGGGAAATATGTGAGGAATAAAATATATGTGAGAATGTGAATATTTGAGTATTGTGAGGAATTGTACATATGAGTATTGTGAATATATATGAGTATTGGGAATGAGAATGAGTATTATGAATTTGAGTATAATAGAATATAGTATTGAGGATATTAGTATATGAGAATATTGTATTGTGTGAGAGCGAAAGAGAAGGAGAGAGAGCAGAGAAAGAGAAAGAAAGGGAGAGAGAAAAAAGGAATAAGTGACAGAATGACGTAAGTCTAACCACAAACAAGGCCTGAAAAGAGGCGGAAATCTGAAATCTTTAACAGCTGGGAGGAATGTACACAAATCTCTCTCTCCCTCACTCTTCTCTCTTCTCTCTTCTCTCCTCTCTTCTCTCTCTCTCTTCCTCCCTCCTTCTCTGTCTCTCTCTTCCTTTCTCTCTCTCTCTCTCTCTCTTCCTCTCTTCTTCTATCCCTCTCCTTCTCCCTCTCCCTCTCTCCTTCTCCCTCCCCTCCCTCTCTCTCCTCTCTCTCTTTCTTTTTCTCCCCTCTCCCCACCTCCCCAACCCCTTCCCCCCAACAACCCCCCCCCTCGACCTCACACACTTCACATATACCCTTTTTACCCGACGGGGGAAACACGGTGCTCGCCGGTCAAAAGAAATTCCATTTTCATCACTTCATTGGCATATGTGGTTGCATTCGACCACGCGAGATTACGAAAGGAGGAGGAGAAGAGGAGAAGAAAGGAAAACATGTAAATACTGGTTGTGCATCTGTACTACGAGGAGGAGGAGAAGGAGCATCTGTACTACGGAGGAGGAAGGAGAGAGGAAAAAAAAGACTGTTGGCATCTGTACTACGAAAGAGGAGGAGAAGGAGAAGGAGAAGGGAAAAACATGTAAATACTGGTTGTGCATCTGTACTACGAAAGGAGGAGGAGAAGGAGAAGAAGAAAAAAAATGTAAATAGTGCATCTGTACTACAAAGAGGAGAGAAGGAGAAGGAAAAAAGTAAATACTGGTTGCAGGAAAAAAAATGTAAATACTGGTTGTGCATCTGTACTACGAAAGGAGGAGGAGGAGGAGGAGAAGAAAAGAATGAAATACTGGTTGTACATCTGTAAAAAGGAGGAGGAGGAGAAGAGAGAGGAGAAGGGAAAAAATGTAAATACTGGTTGTGCATCTGTACGTGCGTTCGCCGTGCGTTAATATACGAAAAGGTGGGAATTAATCGTGGTGGAGGGAGAAAAATAATGTGTGAATTGGCAACCCATTCATTCCCCCCAAAATAAGAAGAAAAATTGCTGGACCTTTTTTTTTTTTCTTTCAAAATTATTTTCCTCTCTTGTTAATGATTATATTCTCTAGTCCCCTCGTTATTATCCCTTTTTTCAAGCTGGTCTTTCCGCATTATATTTTCCGCCTCTCTTTTAATCCCGACTTATTTCTCGCTTTCTACTTCCATTTTCATTTTGTTTCAGTCTTCCCTTCCGTCCGTGCACATTTCCCGTTTTCTTTGACTCCCCCCAGTTATCATTTCGTCTCCTTTCCTTATCTCTGTGGCCATCTCTCTCTCTCTCTCCTATCTCGCCTTTTTATTTGCATCTGTGTATTTCTTCTTTCTATCTTTCTGGGTTTCTTTGAGAGTTCGAAAACGTATTCGGAGAGAACCACTTCATGAGAGAAAGAAAAAGAGAGAGAAGGAGAAAGAGAGGAAGAGAAGGAAAGTGAAGGAGAAGAGAAGAGAGAGAGGAGAAGGAAAAACAGAACAGAAAGAGAGAGAGAGAGAGAGAGAGAGAGAGACAGAGAAAAAGAGAAACAGAAAGAAGAGAGAGAGAGGAGAGAGGGAAAGAGGAGAAAGTGAATGAGTAAGAGTGAGTGCGTGTGCGTATGCGTATACCTACTCGCGCTTAAAGAAAAGAAAGAAAGAAAGAAAGAGAGAGAGAGAGAAAAAAAACAACAAAAAAACCACCAACGTAAAACATAACTAAAACATTCCCCCAACAGGCACCCCTATGCTACATTCTCTTTAACAACATTTACCTTGTCACAAAATCAATGAAAGAATAAAAAAAAAAAAAAAAAAAAACAGAAAAAGAAAAAGAAAAAAAAAATCCGCATGGACGAGTGACAGTAATTAACTGGCGTGTAAAAACAGGAGGAATGCAGTCCCGCTCTGCTTATAATATTTGGATTTATTATTATCCACGTTTCTCTTTCGTTTTACTCATTTCTATTATCATTATCGTCATTATCGTTTTGGCGTGCGCATCTTCGTAAATAACGTAGCAATAACTACAAAAACAGTAAAAATAATGAAATAACCACATAAAAACACAACAAACAACAAACAAACAAACAAAAAAACAGAAAAAACTGAATACAAAAAAAAAAAATGAAAAAGACGAAAAAAAAAAAAAAAAAAAAAAAAAAAAAAGAAAAAAGAAAAAAAATCTAAAAACCCACTCGTCAGTCATGATCGCCGAATAAAAAATCCGCATGCATTCATTAATTTGCCGCATGCATGATCTATAAAAAAGTGTCATGCGAGTCATTACTTGCGCGAATTATTAACTGCATGACTGTAGCCTCCGAGCCGGGTATTTAAACCGGCTTGCATATCCACTGTATCAATAATTTCTTTCTATCTTTCTAGCTTTCTTTGCGAGTTCTAAAATATACTCGGAGACAACCGCTTCATGAAAGAAAGAAAGAGAGAGAAACAAGAAGAAGGAGAAAGAGAAAGAGAAAGAGAGATATTTAAACGGCTTGCATATCACTGTATAATAATTAAATTACTCGAGACAACCACTTCATGAAAAAGAAAAAGAGAGAGAAGGAGGAAGAGAAAGAGAGATAGAGAGAATTTAAATCGCTTGCAATCCACTTGTCATAATTAATTTCGGTACAATTAATGCGTTTGTTTAAATAATCATTTAATCGCCACGGAGGTTGCTCCTGTAGACATTATATTATTATTATATTGTTATTGTGTTATCATTGTATTATCATGTTATTGTTCTATTTATTGTATTATCACTTCATTGTTTATTATCGTTTGCTTTATTTTATCATTTTATTGTTATTTGGTTGCTATTATTTTATTATCACTGTATGTTCTATCACGTTATTTCATGTTATTTTGCATTATTGTTATTTCCACTTTATTTTGCCATATTATTAGTTATTGCTATTATTTTTATCATATTGTTCTTTGCTATTATTGTTATTAATCACTTATTATGTATAGTATCCCTTTGTATTACTAATCATTTATCACTTTATTATTGCTGTGATTGTTAATCATTGTTATTATTATCCTTACTATCTGTAGCATCATATCATCATTATCAATATAATTATCTTGGTAATACCATTACAATTACAGCTTATATTGTTTTTATTACTATCATCACCCGAATGATCACCGCTATCATTGTATCATCATTAACATCATAATCTAGGAAAAAAAAAAAAATCAACACATTAGTATTAACAAAACTAAAATACAGCAAATACCCCCCCCCCCCCCAAAAGAAAGAAGAAGAAGAAGAAGAAGAAGAAGAAGAAAGAAGAAGAAGAAAAAGAAGAAGAAAGAAAAAGAAAAAAAAAAAAAACAGGCTAAGACAGCAACATAATAAGGAAAAAAATAACGACGTCCGTATTTCACACTACAGAATACATTACCAATCCCCCCTTCCTGCCTCCTCCTTCCCCTCCTCCCCTTTCTTTCCCCTCCCCCACCCCCCTCCTTACAGAGAGATACTCAACCCCCTCCTACCCTCAACCCGTCTCCTCCCCCCTACCCCTCGTTAACCCCTCTTCCCCCACCCCCTCCCTCCCCCCTTCTCCCAATTCCACCCTCCTGCCCCCCTACTCCACATCCCACCCCCCTATCCCATTCCTCCCTCCCACCCTCCCTCCAAAACCCCCTACTCCCTATTCATCCCCCCTCCCTAACCCCCCCCCAATTTCCATCCAATAAGACCCCCAGTACTCACGCTAATAAGGGCGCGAGTGCCCCCCTCTCGAACCCTGTCTTTGCTCTCTCTCACGCGACGCTATCACCTTCAAGACCCACGCCCCTGCTCCCCCATTCCACTTGCCCCACGCCGCTTTCCTGCTCCTTCCACCATTCCTCCCCCTTCCCTCCCCCTTTCCTTTCTCACACCTTCGAAGGACACTCTCCCCTAACCCCCTCCCCTCCCCCCCACCTTCACCTCCTTTCATTTTCCCTCGGCGTTCTGCAGTGTAGTTTGATTTGATACGGCGGAGTGTAAGTAAGGTGAGTGAGTGAGTAGGAAGGTGAGTAAGTGAG